TCATAAAAAATTTCTGCGCTTTTCAAGTGCGGGTCAAAATCTAGTTGTGTTTAAAAAAAAGGCACTAACTTCATTATAAAAGAAAATTGATGAATATGTTATTTGGACCGGCCCATGTGTTGAAGGTCAAATTGCATCTCTATTTGGAAGCAAGCGGCGACTAAATAAAAATACAGAATAAGGTTCAAGTTATATTCGACCTATATGTTATACTTGTTAGTAGGACTGGGCACAAATGCTTGATATTTGGCTTGTACTCGCTACTTGACTCGGTTTGGTTTGAAAAAACAAGTACTTGTTTCAATCAAGTCGAGTAACAAGTAAGCAAATTTTATTATTTACAAGTACAAGTCAAGTATCAAGTTCATTTTAATTTTTAACTACTTGGTTTATTACTTGTTTCTTGTCATATATTATTTAGTTTATTAAATACTTAGTTTATTATATACTTAGTACATATTTCATTAAAATTTATGTAATTATGAGTGACTACAATTACTTCTTACTTGTTTCATGTTTACTATTTGGTTGGTACACGATCCTTAAAGTCGAATAGTTGTTTTGACTAAAACGTGTATCAAGTAGTTAATTTAAACTGTCTTCAAATACAAACAAATACAAAATAAGAAACTAAAACTAATTATTCAGTGTTGCTTGGTTTATTATTCGTTTTTATCAATGAACAAATATACATTTTCTTAAATCATAGTAATACAATTCGCTAATATTTCAGTTTTTTAAAGTGAAAAAAAACATAAGTGATATTTATATAAACATATTATAATTTTTTTTAATATAATCTATTTCACAAATGACTAAAAATCAGAAAAAAATAATGACAAAAAGAAAACAGTGACATTTTATTTATATATAAGAATTCTACTTACCTTTAAATTTAAACTAATTAGAAAATAATTTACCAATAGTTATTAAGTAATTTGTAATAAAATTACATATAACAAATAATAAAACATGGCAAGTAACTTGTAAGTCCATCAATTTTTCGCAAGTACTTGAAACTGCAAGTACTCGTTTTTAACAAACTAAGTACAAGTCCAAAATTTGAATACTCGTACAAGCCAAGCCGAGTATTAAGTATACCAAAAATACCAAGTACTCGGCTTGTATCCACCCCTATTTGTTAGATGATAGATGATGTTGATCTTATGGAGGCAAATATGAATCTATTTAGGCCCAAAATGTATAGGCATTGATCAACTTGATTTTGATATTGCATTTTTAATGTTGATCGAAGGAACTGAATGAGGAAGACGGATGAATTTTAAAACATATCAGTGTGTTTTGCTTTGGGTGCTTGTATAAAATCATATATTTTATTTGTTAGATTCTGTAATGATATATAAAATGTTTATATTTATCTTTTAGTTTGAAAAAACATAATATAGTTTTTTTTTAAAAGATACTAAATATGAAATAATGAAGTTTCATTGATTGGTGAATCTGTAGATATATCCTAAAGGACGAACCCAAAAAATTTTCTTTCATTTGGTTCAATTTAATAATGGTTCGTCATCTAAAGTTTGCTCAAACTTCTTCTAAAATTGCCACATCAGCAATTAAATGATATAAAGTTTAGACATCTTAACAAAATCATTATTTAATTAATAAAAAATTAAAAAATAAAATAAATTATCTTCAATTTTATAGATGGGACAAAATCAATGGTTTTAAATCCGACCCAGACACTGAACCGGATGACTTACCGGGTCATTGGGTCACTGGGTCGACCGTGGGTGAACTGGGTTCATAAATGAAACTTTATTATATAATAATCTATTAGCTATAAAAATAAAAATATAGAAACTAAAGTTAAATATTTTCTAAATGTTTTTAAAGCATAAAATGTATAAATATACAAAATATCAAAATTAGTTTAGACTATTTAAATTTTTTTATAACAAGTTAAGAGTGATAACATCTACAAAATCAATATTTAAATGTCTAATGAGAATAATAAATTAAACTTCAAATCCAAAATAAAACAAAAGTAAAACATCATTGTAAAAAATTATCAGTAACAAAAATAAACTAAAATCAAATTACATCAACTAATTTTGGTTCTCGTTACCACCCTTCTGTTCATTTTCTTCAGGTGGTATAGTGAAATCTTCATTAAAATAAAAAAAAAAATCATAGATAAAATAGTGTAGTAGGTATTATGTATGATAAAAAAAGTCAGAAAGTTTAATCTAAATTTAAAAAAGAAGACGGCAATGTAAATAAGTAAAACGTGAAAACATAACTTTTAAATTAGAACTTAGAATATAAAACAAAATAAAAATATAATTTAAAACTTAAAAAAAAAAAGTAAAAATTTATTTATTGGTTTAACCAGTGGTTCAACCGGCATCGGGTTTTGGGTTTTAGTGGGTTTTTCCGGGTTTAACCGCGGGTCCGGGTCGGGTTTCAAAACACTGGACAAAACGGAGGTATTTCACTTCTCAATATTTTTTTTGTGTAAAAAGGAAAGTGTTAGTTTTGGGAAGATTTAAGTCCTAATGATTGACCCAAAAAAAAAAATTCGTTTAGGATTAGACCTGCGTAGATCTATATATATAACAAGGAAGCGATACTTCAATATATATATTATTATTACAGTTTAGAGAGAGAGAGATTTCTATAACTATATAATTATTATTATATGAAGGCGAAAAAGAGGAAGAGCGGCGAGAAGGGTGGAGGAGGAGAAGGTGCTATTAGGTTATTACCAGATGATCTACTCTGTCACATCCTGTCTTTCCTCCCGACAAAAGAGGCGGTTCTGACATCAGTTCTGTCCAAGAGATGGCGAGTTTTGTTTACATTAACACCTAACCTTGATCTGGACGATGAGTCCATGTCCCAAGAATGCAAGCGGAATAGTTTCTTGGAGTTTGTAGACAACAGACTTCTTGCTCTTCCGTCCAATTTTACCAAATTCTCTCTAACGTGTCATAATAAAGGTGTAGTAGACCAAGTTTTTGTTGAGTATTGGACACTCCAAGCTCTGGAACGTGGAGCAACAGACCTTTCTTTAGTATTGCCCTCTGGATACTCACTGCCTTTTAGTATCTTCTCACATCCCAAAAACTTGATTAAGCTGAAACTAGGATCCGGAACAATTGGTCTTGTCAAGAGTTTTGAAACTCATCAAGGAGATTTCATCTTCTCACATCTTAAAACTCTGCATCTCGACAATGTTGACTTGAGTCCTGATGATCCAGGGTTTGATCTGCTTCTATCTAGATGCCCTGTCCTCGAGGAGTTGATCATGAGTTGTGCAAACTTGCTACATTGGGAACCAGTGTCTTCCCCAACACTCAAGAGACTTACTATTGATTGTGAGCATGACCTCACTAGTTTACATAGCGTAGCACAGACAGAGGAGTATCCACCGATAGATTGTAGTCTGACCTACTACTTTGGTACTTGGGCTCCATGCAGAGTTTCATTTGATACTCCAAACCTGCTCTATTTAAACTACTCAGATTTTCTTGCGAGTGACTATCCGCTTATCAAATTGGATTCCCTTGTTGAAGCTAGACTCGATGTTGGATTGAACGGACCTGATGTCCATGCAAGAGATTCGGGACGTGACGTTGAGCTGGATGCCACCAATCTTATCATGGGGATTCACAATGTTCAAACCCTTCACATATCTTCCGATACACTTGAGGTTTTTTTTTCTTAATCATTCTTCCTTCCTTCTGATTACACTTTTGATTAAGACCCCCAAGTGTTTTTAATTTACATGATATACAGGTGATTTCAGACTTTTGTAAGACTGTACCGGTATTCCACAACCTGAATCATCTATCTATTGAGAGCAACGAGGACCGAGGATGGCAAGCCTTGCCACTCTTGCTCATCAACTCCCCCAGTCTACACACTCTCGTCTTCCATGTAAGTATTATATCCAGAAACAGAAAAGCTCTTTACACAAAAAAAAAAAAAAAAAAATTTAAGTTGATTTGTTTCTTTCGTCCTCAGGGTCTTCACCACAGTCTTACCGATGGATGTGGAGATGCGTGTGACTGCATCCCTCCTCCTGCTGCTTCTTGTTTATCAACCTGTCCTGTGAAGATCCTGAAGATACTGGACTTTGGTGCAACCTGTGGAGAGATGTCACTAGTCGAGCATTTCCTCAAAAACTTGTCTCAGCTTGAACAAGTAACCATCGTATTAGACTTTGACTCCACCTTAGAGGAGGGTTTGGATCTTTTTGAAGTCTCTGGGGCATTGGAGATCGCCCCTAGAGCTTCACCAAACTGCAAGGTAAAATTAGTTTAATTAACTAGTTCTTAATTCTGATGGCTTGTTGTTCCACTGATTGATGCATATCTTTATGGAGAATGATGTAGCAGAGCTCATTATCATATTTGAATAAGAGAAATCAGAAGCTTAACTGATTACTATTATGTTACTTGATATATATGTATATGATCATATGAGTTCATATACCTGTTTTATAAGAATCAGCAAATCTCAGTTCCATATCTCAAAACACACAGAAAGTATATATATATATAAATGCTTCTCATAGTGATGAAAGCGCTTAGAGCTGGATACAAGAGGAAGAAGTTTTCTGTCCTTTCACTTTTAGCAAATATATAGGCAGATCAACTACGTTAACCCAGTTTGCTAAGAAGGAGTTAAGAAAGATTCTAAGTCAGAAAAAAAATGTGAAGTGGTATCCACAGGCTATGAGAAGTCAATTTTGACTCTGTTTAGTACCTGAACAAAGTAGCTTCCAGTATTTTCTTATTGCGCATATATCCGTACTACTTACTAAAGCGAGCAAAAGGTATCATGTACATTTATGGACAAAACAATCGCCACATACACACTCCGCTAGAACTCATGGCTAAAAACTATGGACAGTAAGTAAAGATCATCATTGTCTCTCTATACACTCATGGCTAAAAACTATGGACTCTAAAGTTCATTGTCTATACTGCAACTTTCATTGTCGCCTATAGAACAGAACCTGGGTAGTGGGGTCACTGGTCAATCAGAGAATAGTAGGCAAGTAGCTCTGACTCTACTGATTCATCAGGCTTATCCGGTACCTGGTTGCTTCCTGATGAAATCAATTCAACCTTCCAATAGGGACGACTCATGATCGAGAGATCTCCTTGTTTAGTCTCTTTATAAGATATAGCCCTTAAGAACCTAAGTGAAGGCAGATTCATGACTGCAGTAGCTATTCCATACTCACTGAAGTTGCACCATCTTATCTCTATCTTCTGCAGCTTAGGACATCCTCCAGATAAGGCAATGAGACCCTCGTCTGAACCACCACATTCTCCCAAAACCAAGTCTGTCACATTTTTACTGTACTGACCGACATATTTCGTCCTACATCAGTTAGATCTCCTTCTCTGAGATAGAGCTTAAACTTCCTCATCTTCGTACATCCCATTAACAGTGCTCTCACTCCGTGGTCTAGGGGTAATGCCTTGTCTTCCTTTTTATATGAGGTTAATGTCAAACGGAACTCACTGAGGTTTTTCAAGTTCTCACCCATGATTTGTAGAGCTTCATTCTTAATCGTCAAGATGTACACTTCAATGCATTCTAGTTCGTGGCAGCCTTGTGATATACTGATCAATCCTTTCTGGGTGAAACGTCTACTTATTTTCATGTCTGGACCTAGTAAGATCCGCAATTGTTTCAACTTCTTACATGACTTTGCAATAACTCTGAGCACCTGATCTTGAATGTCTGTGAACAACTGAAAAACCAGCGACCATTTGTCAGTTGTATAGAGAAAGAAAGAACACACTTAAAATATAGATGACGTTAAGTTGAGAAACAACAAGTGACAGCGACTTATTAAAAGATAATGTTAAGACTCGCAAAAGCTAAACCTACTAACCAAATCGTGTAATCAAATGTGACCAAGTTATATAAACTTATGAGCTAAGCGTATTACTCAAATGTGACCAAGTTACAGAACTTATGAACTAAGCGTGCTACTCAAATGTGACCAGAGTTACAAAACTTATGAACTAAGCGTACTACTCAAATGTGACCAAGTTACAGAAACTTGTTTACCTCCAGAACTTCCAAATTGGGAGTCGTTTGCAGCAAATGGCATTGATCATTTAATCCCAGCAATGCAAATCGCAAATCAAGATACTGAATTCTGTCAGCAAATGGAGAGAGCAGAGCCATGTCACATGGTTTCATGTAGAAGTTACCAAGGCCACATAATGTTGAAGGGAGCTTGATAAACCTATACATATCTTGAGATCTATTCACATCTGTACTAAAACTGCCACCAAAGAATTGTTGAAGCTTGTGAGCAGCTGTAAAAAACCCATTGAGCTCTAGCATATCAACAAGGCCAATCTTGAGAGAGTTTAGAGGGCAGTTCTTAGCCACAGCTTCTAAGTCTTGAGTGTTGAATTGAATGTTTGGAATGAGATGAAAGTTCAACACTTTCAGAGAGTGATTGTGAACAGATATCTGATGTAGCCACTCTCCATCTTTCACAAGAAGACTACTAGCATCTAACACTAACTTCTCTAAGTTCCTGGAAACAAAAATTGCATAAAAACCTGAAATTTGATTGATTGTGATAAACCCAGTAACAAAGATAGATGAAAGAAACCTTACTTGCAGTGTTTTGCAATTGACAAAAGGCCATCTGTAGAAAATCCATAACACCCATAGAGCTCCAAAGCCTCTAACTTTCCCAATTTTGATGTTGCCAAGATATGTAGATCATTATCGCTAACCTCCATCTCACTGAACTCTAGGGACTTGAGGGCTCCAAGATTAGTTATTTCTTGAATCCAAGGAGTAGCCTTGCTTCCCAACTTCACTTTGTTGTCTCCTTTGATCTTCAGAACCTTGACATTAGGGCACCGGCGACTCAATATCCTTGGTTCTACAGCATAAGAGAGAACACTCATACAACTCATAGTCTCGGATTCGGCAAGAAGCCACTCTTTACAGACGAGTGAAACTTGTCTCCAATCATCACGATTGTGGACTAAGATTATCTCTAGGAGTACTTGCCACTCCATCGTGATCGTGACCCGCCTATCCAAGAAGATGACCCGCCCCGAGTAGAAGGTGACCCACCACGAAGAAAAAGATTACTTTCTTTGATCCTTTTTAACCTTAGGTTTAGTTTTTTTTGGTGGTAAATTTTAGTTTTTTTGGTCAACTTTTCAGTATTTAATAGTGAGTTGTTTAGTTTCTGATTTTTTATCCTTAAGATAATTTTTTAAAACGTGTTATGTGATTTATTAACTCTTAGCTTTTATGTGTGTTTAAATACTATTTTTTAAAAAAAATTGTTAACAACCTATTAGAAAACTTGTAAATTGTTTTTGTCAAAATTCCTATTTTTTATAGCAAAAAATAGTTCACAAAATTATATTTATATATATATATATATGAATGGAATTTATGGATAAAATTCGACAATATTTTTTATAAAGCTTTTGCAACAGTGCAATGTTTAAAATTATTGTAAAAATCGATTTTTTTGTGTAGAAGTTTATATGAAAATGTTGCTTTATTTTAGAAAAAAAATATTAACTAACTATTTTTAAAAAAATTAACTCCTACATCAAAAACACTCGCATGTTATAGCTTTTAGAAAACATTTGATATAGAGACAACTATGTTTTATAACTATTATGATAGAAGAAGGTCCGGTTTAGGTTGGTTTACACTAATCAATGTTGCTTAGATATAATGTGTATTTGGTTTACACTAATCAGGTTGGTTAGATGAATGTAGACGTCCTTTAGCTCAGCATCACTTACTATATAAAGTGATGGAGGTTGTAACAGAATCTTTTTATGATGAATGAAATGTTTACGATCATCTCTCTTTTGTTCATCTTCTATTATGGTATCAGAGCTCGAGAATCAAAATTCTCGATAGATCCTTCTTAGACCTTGCTTCCCTCGTGATAGATCGTTTGATTTACGTATCATCGATCACAAATTTCACGGATAAGCTTTTAATTATTTCTCATTCTACGATGGTGACTGCACGAAGAGCCGTTCGGAGAGCAACCAGAGCTGCATCGAGTCGCCGTTCACCTACACCGGAGGCGGTTACACCAGATCCTTTGTCTCCGTTTGTGGTATCACCTGAAAGCATTCACTCTCCCTTTTACCTTACCAATGGAGATAATCCAGGTCTTTCATTAACATCTGAGATTCTCGATGGAACAAATTACGATAGTTGGCGTATTGCTTTATCCATAGCTTTAAATGCTAAGAATAAAACTGCATTTATTGATGGATCTATAGTGAGGCCAAGTGTTCACATCCTACTTTCCGAATCTGGTCTAGGTGTAACTCAATGGTGAAGTCTTGGATTCTTAACTCTGTTGATAAACAGGTCTACAAAAGTATATTGCGTTTCAATGATGCTTCAGAGATCTGGAAGGATTTGATGACACGATTTCGTATCACAAATCTTCCACGTTCTTATAATTTGTCTCAGCAGATTTGGGCTCTGGAACAAGGAGCTCTGGATCTCTGTGCTTACTATACTAAGCTGAAGACTCTTTGGGATGAACTTGATGGAGCTAGTTGTCACACTACTTGTCAGACGTGTGATTGTTGCAAAGGGATGAAAACAAAAGAAGAACATTCAAAAGTTGTCAAGTTTCTTGCTGGATTGAATGATTCTTACTTTGTTATCCGCAGTCAGATCATCATGAAGAAGCATGTTCCAGAGTTATCTGAGATATACAACTTGTTGGATCAGGATCATAGTCAGCAAAATTTGCAATCTCTGCACAATGCTACAGCTTAAAATGTTTCTTCTCAGGATCATTTACAAGGAGTTATCAATGCTACTCAAGGATCTTCTTCTCAGACTAAACAAAAGAATAAGCCTATTTGTGGTCATTGGGGGTATACAGGTCATACAGTGGATACTTGTTACAAGATTCACGGCTATCCTGTTGGTTTTAAACATAAGACTAAGAATCAATCTGATAAGACTGTTGCTCCTTCTAAGTCTGTTACATCTCAGAAACCGGTTATGGCTCAAGTTTCTATCCCTAATACTAATACTTTACGTGAGGTTGACAATCTTACAGGATTGGTGAATCATCTCTCCAAAGATCAGATTCAAGGTGTGATAGATTATTTCAATAATCATCTACACGTTTCTGGACATTATAATGCGGAAGCTTCTACTTCTCAAGGCACTATCACTGCTCTTCCGGGTATGGCTTTCTCTTCTTCTACACTACATTTTGTCGGAGCTTTACAAGCCACTAGTTCTATTCTGTCTTCTGAATCTTGGATAGTAGACAGTGGGGCCTCACATCATGTTTGTCGAGATAAAGTTCTATTTGAGAATATTGCAAGTGTTATACATTCTTCTGTGACTCTACCTCTATACTAGTTTGGGAGTTCATATTGCAGGAGTTGGTACTATCAGAATGACTGATTCTCTGGTTCTCAAGAATGTTCTCTTTATACCAGATTTTTGTCTTAATCTTCTGAGTATAAGACAGCTAACCAAGGATTTGGGTTACAGAGTTGTTTTTGATCATTCGTCTTGCATGATACAGGATCCTACCAAGGGGCTGATGATTGGTCAGGGTGAGGAGATAGCAAACTTATATGTGCTTAACATGAGTAGCATTCAACAAAGTTTGGATCAGAAGTTTGCCTATTATTCAAATGTTGTTTTTGATTATAATATATGACACAATAGACTGGGACATCCTTCTATACAGAAAACTGATTTTGTTACTCATTCTATGGGTTTAAAACATAAGAATAAAGATTAGTTTCATTGTCATATATGTCCATTGGCGAAACAGAAGCATTTATCTTATGATTCTGCAAATAATATGTGTGCTACTCCATTTGAGCTTCTTCATATTGACACATGGGGTCCCTTCTCTGTCTCAACAACTGAAGGATTTCGTTATTTTCTCACCATCGTTGATGACCACAATAGAGTTACTTGAATATATCTCATGAAAACAAAAGACGAAGTTCTACGAATTTTTCCGGATTTCTTGAAGATGGTAGAGACTCAGTACAATGGAGTTGTGAAGGGTGTAAGATCAGATAATGCTAATGAACTCAAGTTCACTGATCTTTTCAAACAAAAAGGAATTGTCTCGATTCATTCCTGTCCAGAGACGCCACAGCAAAATTCGGTAGTGGAGAGAAAACATCAACATATACTGAATGTGGCAAAGGCTCTTATGTTTCAGGCAAGGATTCTTTTAGAATACTGGGGGAATGTGTTCTCACTGCTGTCTTTCTCATTAATCGCCTTCCGAGTCCTCTGTTACAAAATAAAACTTCTTTTGAAGTCTTGACATCCAAGAAAGTGAATTATGATGACTTAAGAGTCTTTGGTTGCCTCGCTTATAGCTCAACATCATCAAAGAATAGGCATAAGTTCAAGCCTCGTGCTCGCCCTTGTGTGTTTCTTGGTTATCCTTCTGGATACAAAGGCTATAAGTTGTTGGATGTTGAAACAAATCAGGTGCATATCTCTCGGAATGTGGTTTTTCATGAAGAAATTTTTCCTTTTACTCAAGATCTCACAGATTCTGAGATGGATTTCTTTGGTTCTCCCACCGTTGTTGAAGATGAGACTTTGAGTGCTGAGAAAGTTGTCACAGGAATTTCTTCTTCTGCTACTACTGATCCTTCTGCTCCAAGTACTTCTTCAGATCAACAAGCCTCTGTTTCAGAGACAGAGCTAGTAAAAGGTCTACTAAAACTCCGGCTTATTTGCAGGACTATTACTATAACCTCAACACTACTGAGATACCTTATCCTATGGCAAATTTCCTATCTTATGATCAGCTATCAGACGGCTACAAAGCTTATATATGTTCTGTTAATCTTCATGCTCTTCATTTACACAGGCTAAAAAGTTTGATGAGTGGTTACACACAATGAATGAGGAACTTCTTGCTTTGGAGAGCACTGATACTTGGGAGATTTGTTCCCTTCCAAGTGATAAACATGCTATTGGTTGCCGATGGGTTTACAAAGTTAAGCTTAAGGCAGATGGTACGTTGGAACGTTATAAGGCTAGGCTTGTTGCCAAAGGATATACTCAGAGGAAAGGTGTTGATTTTGTAGATACATTCTCACCAGTTGCTAAAATGACTACTGTGAAGATTTTGATTGCAGTGGCTGCAAGCAAAGAAATGGAAGTTAAGTCAACTGGATATTTCAAATGCTTTTCTTAATGGAGATTTAACAGAGGAGATTTATATGTCTTTACCTCTTGGTTATACACCAAAAGAGAGAACTATTCTTCCTCAAAATCCTGTCTGTCGCCTAAAGAAGTATATCTACGGTTTAAAGCAGGCATCTAGACAGTGGTTTCTTAAGTTCAGCTCTACTCTACGAAGATTGAAGTTTAAGAAATCACATGCTGATCATACTCTTTTTGTCAGGAATACTAATGGCAAGTATGTGGCAGTTCTGGTGTATGTAGATGACATTATTATTGCCAGCAATGATGATACAGAAGCAGACAAGCTTAAAGAAGATTTGCAGAAAGCATTCAAGCTTCGTGATCTTGGAGAGTTATGGTATTTCCTTGGACTCGAAATTGCAAGATCCACTAAAGGCATTTTTGTATGTCAAAGAAAATATACATTGGAGTTACTTGAAGAAACAGGTTTGTTGGCTTGCAAACCATCTAGCATTTCAATGGAACCTAGTTTAAAGCTGCAACAACCTTCCACTGAACCTGTTCTTGAGGATGGAAGTGTTTATCGGAGATTAGTTGGAAAGATGATGTATTTGACTATCACTCGGCCAGATATTATGTATGTTGTCAACAAGTTATGTCAGTTTTCTTCGGCTCCTAAGGCTTCTCATCTTCAGGCAGCTTTCAAAGTATTACATTACTTGAAAGGCACGGTTGGTCTTGGACTTTTCTATTCTGCAGAGTCTAACTTTGTTCTTCAAGCTTTTACTGATGCGGACTGGGCTTCTTGCCCTGATACTCGACGTTCCACCTCTGGTTTTACGGTCTTCTTGGGATCCTCTCTTATATCTTGGAAGTCTAAAAAGCAACATGTTGTGTCTCATTCCTCTGCTGAATCCGAGTACAGAGCAATGGCTTTTGCTGTTCGTGAACTCATCTGGCTTATCAATCTTGTTCATGAGTTGCAGATTTCTCAAGAAGGTCCGGTTTCTTTGTTCTGTGATTCAACGGCAGCAATACACATTGCTAACAATGCTGTTTTTTTACGAACGCACCAAACATATAGAGCTGGATTGTCACCAAGTTCGTGATCGAATTGAGGAGGGACTTGTGAAGACGTTTCATGTTCGAACTGATCTTCAGATAGCAGACGTCTTTACAAAGCCATTATATCCTGCTCAGTTCAATAAGCTTGTTTCCAAGATGTCTTTAACTAATCTTTACTTGACATCTTGAGGAGGGGTATTACGATAGAAGAAGATCTGATTTAGGTCGGTTTACACTAATCAATGTTGGTTATATATAATGTATTTGGTTTACACTAATCAGGTTGGTTAGATGAATGTAGACGTCCTTTAGCTCAGCATCACTTACTATATAAAGTGATGGAGGTTGTAACAGAATCTTTTTATGATGATTGAAATGTTTACGATCTCTCTTTCGTTCATCTTCTATTAATAACTCAAAAAATAATCAATTTTATTATTTTAAAAATGTTAAGATTAGGGAAGGGAATTTGAGAAATGTAGAACGGCAGTTAATGTAAATATATTGAAGAGTGTATATGATTTTTTCATTTTTTTGTCATGGTTACTTACCTAAGTTTTCATGGCCATTGTCTAATGAGTTATATATACATCACTTTAACAAAACTTAATTAAATTTTATAATGTTTAACTTTAAAAGTCAAAAATATTAACAAAACCAAATTTAGAAAACCTATAAGGACCGTTTAAGAAAACCAATAGAGAAAAGATCACTAACTAAATCATCAACGAAAGTAGAAACTAGCGCTCCTTCTATATCAATGCCTTCCTCAAACATCTCTCTCTCTCATAACCAACCCATCTCCCTTCAAAACAGCTCATCTCATGATCCACAAGCTCGTCTATCATCAGCTCTCTCATCTTCTTCAGCCCTTTAACTTCTCTGTTCATTTCTTCAGCCAACAAATCTCTATGTTCCAACAACATCATCCTCACCCCTTTGCAGCTTCCATCTGACATCCTTTCAAACTTCACAGCCAAGCACTGATTCACACAATCGAAAAACGTCTTTCTTTCCATCTTCATTGACCTCGCAGCTCCTCGAGACCGTTCCATTTCATCAAAGAGGCTTGAGGGTAATAATAGTTCATTAGTGGTTGTCCCTGAGGCCAAGTCTTGAAACATTAGCTGGCCAGAGTTGAGGATCTTGGTTATGTACTCGAGCTCCCAATCCATTGTTTCTAAACTTTGGTTGGACTCATCTGATGAAACCCAAGTGACTTATTTATCTGATGAACTCTCTTTAATGCCTGAATAAAAATACAAAACAACACTTAGCCTAAGCCACTGAAAAATTGGAAAAAATCAAGACATAATATACTAACAAAGATATACCATATTCATTGTCTTGTCTGAAATCTGTGAAACTCTCATTGCAGGAGAGTGTGTCATTAGCTTCTGTAAGAGTGCTGATGCTGCTAACTTCATGTTCTTCTCCTTGCATCAACTTCTTCTATAAGGAAAAAAAAGACAAGAATGTCTCAGAGATTGGTAAGCTGAAAAAACATTTGAAGTATAAAAGAATAATGAAGATGCATTCTATGGACACTACAAACCTTACATTTCTGGCTTTTATAGAATGAAGTACAGTCAGAAACAGATTCACTCTCTACTAAAGACTCTTGTTGGATCAAGCTAGAGCTAGAAGATTCAATCTTCGAAGTCAGTTTTCTGAGCTTTTGCTCCAAAAGCGCCTTTAATGAATCACCACCTATGACATCGAACTTAGCAGCAGAGTCTGCGTATTGTTTGTTTCCTTGTGAGTGAGATGATAAACCTTTCATTAAAGACGATAAAGTGAAAGAAACCACACCAGTTTCTCTTTTCTGATCATCTTTATCAACTTCTCAGCCCTTCTAATTCCAGGTTCTTGCACCCCACTTCGCGGTTTCTTGCTTAGAGGACGAATCTTTTTCGATGTAGATCCACTATCCACAACTATTTTGTTCCTTGCTTTCTTACTTTGCTGATGGTCTCTGCAGTTTTGCTTCTGGTGATTCTGTTGAAGCACATTCTTCCCTGCGCTTAAGGAAGATCCTTTGAGACCATTCTGGCTTTTCACTGCACGGCTCTTAGCTTCTGCCTTCTCCTTTTGGCCCCTTTTGTTTCCACTTGAGGACGTTGTTAAGCTCCCATGCTTCAGCCTACTGTTCTTCTCATTCTGATCTCTCTTAAGGTACTTACTGTTACCATTATTAGAGACATGAGGGCATGAAGTAGAAGCTTTCTCTGCAGCAGCTTCTAGTTTCTCTTTCAAATCTCTTATCCTGAATGGAACTAGAGAAACAGTGCCGGATGATGTAACCACACGTGTTCTTTCCATCATCCGTGGACTCGATTATATCACTCTTGAAGCAGCTTCCATTACATAAGCAGGGCTCCTAGATGGAACAAAACCAGGGTTCCTTATAGGAGACAAGAGCTTACTGTGAATGACAGAGATCGGTTTAGCGGTTCTTGGCGGTAAAGTTTCAGTTTGAAACCGCTCAATCATCCTCTTACGTGGTCCTTTACTGGTGGTTCTTGAATCCAAATGATCACAAGAAACGTCACTCAGATGATTAGTATTGACATCAAAAGTGTTTGTTTGCCATGAGGATCTGAGAAAGTATGGATCAATATCAGAATTAGCCCTTGGTTCCATAACGTTTGGTCGCGGTAAACACTCTAAACCCATGAGCCTTGCTACTACACTCGGTTCTCCAGCCACATTTGCATCATCACTAGTTACAGAGGATGCACAGCAGCTAGAGTCGCTTCTAGGATTGAAAGTTGAGTTTCTTTACAGTCTGATCAGCCTCAAACTGTTGAAACAGATCACACAAGAGTTGTAACACAATCAATTCATGTCATTAACTAAACTAACACAACCACAAAAAATACTGCAGAAAACAAGGAAAATAGTATTAAAAGCAAAAGGCTTACATATGTTGAAACAAATCACACCAGATGTGTAATACAATCAATTCATGTCATTCACTAAACTAACACACACACACACACAAACATTGCACAAAACAAGGAATATAGAAGTGAGAGCAAAAGGTTACAATTGTTGAAACAGATAACACAATCAATTCATGACATTCAATACACACACACACACAAAATCATTGCATAAACAAGGAAGATAGTATTGAGAGCAAAAGGCTTACAAGAGAATGTGGTGTAGTTGATGGGTTTTGAACATTCTCATTTGCTTGCTTTGAATCTTCTGTTTTAAAACAAGAAACTTTAGATTACAAAATGTATTTGTATATACATAAAACAAAGGGGTGAAGTGTTCATACCAGAGATTTGGGAGACATCGGATGAGAAAAGCTTCTTCCTTGATTTGCCAGGCCAATCAAGCAGATTTAGAAACGCTCCTCCCCTTGGTTGTTTTCTCTCAACAATGTCCATTTTATTTTCAGCTATATGGGTAACAAGGTCTGAATCAATTACAGTGTAATGCAATTACAAGAAGCTGGATCCCATCAAGAAAACAGCAGACACAAAAAAAAGAACCAGACTTTGCAAAGTAATGTACTGAATTACTCATTGAATTAGATGAGGAATGAAGTTTTTTTACCTCTCAGTTACTCAGGATGCTAAAGTCTTGGCCTTTTACTCATGGATCAATTCAAATCTGAGATTTTCGAAGTGGGTCGGATCAGGAAAGATCATACAGATTGGAGATTGGGGGTTTTGAGATTAGTAGAGAAGCAGCAAGAGACGTTATGCAAAAGAGATACACGCAGAGTTTGAATTGAAATGACGAGAGATAGAGAGAGATAGAGCCGTTGCAAAGCGAGTGCGATAGAAGACAGAGAGAGTTTTGAAAAGTTTAGTTTTTATTCTCAACACAAAAGGGAAATCTTTTCTCTATTATAACGACTTGACCATAGAGAGTGGCTGGCATGTATAGATTGATAATGTTCATAGCATCCAATGAAGTCAACATATAAGTAGTCAATGTGAAAACTTTTCAATTTGAACTTTCTAGTTTCGAACATAAATGAATAATGGATTGTTTTTGGGAACACACAATTTTTTTTAAAAAAGGTCATAACGTTTCATTTTTGTGTTGAAGAACATAAAACAAAGGCAACAGCTTTATATTATCAACTGGGGGTGTATCGGCGCTATTCGCCGGATTCGTATGTGTTATTTGAAGATAAATTTATAAATTATTTTTTGGATTTGGTAAAGCTATTATGTTAAAAAATTTGATCAGAGTGGAGTATGATCATAGTTCAAAGCCGTTTGTATTACGATAGTTAAATGAAGTTGTAATCTTTACTTCCATAATGATTTTAGTTTTTGTTGCGTCAATTTCTTTTTTAATATTTTATCCCGTCTTATTTGTTTTTTAATTTGTTTGTATTTGTGCTATGTACATTTGAAGAATTGATTGGAGATATTGTGTATTTGAAATTTTAGTGCATTCTTTCGTCTTTGTTTACCAAGATAAAAGTTTGAAAGCTTTAAAAAGTCCATAGGGTTATATGGGTAGAGGGAGATAGGATTCCATATTGTAATGAATGGGCGTAATTGCATTAAACTAATTTGGTTTTTGTGGTTTCGTGATGAATTTATAGTTAAATGATAAATGGCATTCTTAAGGTTATATTATATTGCTTGCATGCTAACAACAAAGTTTTTCGTCACCTGAGAAACCGAGATTAAAGTTATATTATATGGCGTTCATTAGATACTGAGGAACAGAGATTGAAAGACAAACTTGAAGTAGAGTTTTTTTTGTGAATATGTTAACATAATATGCGTTCATTAGGACTAACTTTTTTTCTTGTGGCTTCTTTTTTTTGCAGATGATGATGATGCTTCTGATAGTGCTGGACCACTCTGTCTTTTCCGGACAGTCCCTGATACTATTTGCCTGTCAACTCAACTGTGCCTTCACCATGTCTTCTGGAAACGTAGAGGGTAGGGAAACCATAGATGATGAGCTTGCATCAAGTCTTTGTAGTGAATGAATGCAAAGGGTCTTTTCGTAATGGCCGTCTTATGTCAATTGCTTCGCATTGAATACTGGCCTTTGGATGTCTTGTGGGAGGCCTATAAACACTATGTAAATGGTACTGCTTGCTAAAGGGTGAAGGTGGTAAGTTTCATATTAATCAGACTTCTTCTGAGGTATTCAGATAGTGGGATGAAACAAAGTGACTGATAGGTTCGTTTCATTTATAATGGTTTTTACTGTTATGAGTAACTAGCACTCTGACTTCTTAGGAGCATCAAAGATGGAGAGGACTCATTACCTATATGGGGTTTCAACATCGTTTTGAGTTTTTGATAAGCTTAATCTGAATCTGAGTATTGCGTGTGTGGGTTTTTTTGCTTGTGTCAATAATTATTTTCTGTTTAATACCATATTCTTTGAACTATGATTATATGTACACAACATGTAAACTGGTTGGCAGCAGAATAATGTTTTAATTGTTCTCAGTCTGTTAATAAATTGTTTGTGATGCAAGGTTTCCAGTAAATTATGGATAATATAATATATTGTGTTAATAATATTAAAACTTGTATAATATAAACAGTAGACGTAAGGTAGAAAGACTACCAACAAATGCTTCTTTTTTTTCTTTTTTTTTGTATGAGTTTCGGCACTCACAATAAGAGGAAAGAAAGTCGAGAACGAACAATGTCGATAAAGAGACTTCAATAGCACGATAAGATTAGCAAGCCAAGTGATTCTTATTCAAGAAGAAACCAAAAGCTAAATAATCAAAAGCTTTTAATTTGTAAAGCCATCTACTTCTGCTGAGAAGATATGCATTGGCACAAGAAATTAAATAACCACGTAACTATTTATTTCATATAAAAAAAAAGAGTACATGTAAACGAAGTTGCAAAAGTCTTTCATCAACCTGAAACGAAGTTGAAATATGCTAAAACATTAATTCGTAAAAAAAAGACGTGATTGTGCAGTTCGAACAGGGACTCATTCCAGGCGTGCTTTCTTGGGTGCATTATCCTCGACATCACCTTCTCTTCTCGTTGTTGATAAACTTCCAGAAAGTGATCCATCATTTGTAGTTGCCTGCTCTGAAACCTTGCTACTGCTACTGACTGTCGCATCTGATACGGGCACGACAGCTTCAGCGGAGTTCAATGATCTGACAGGGTTAGGAAAAAAATTGAGTCCTGAAGCATACTCGCAGAGGATAACTGTATATGAAGATATATATGATAACTTACGATAAAATGGTTAACTTCTGAAACAGTCAGGGGTTCAATATTTTGAGAGTGGACCACCTTCGACAAAGACGATGACTGGCCTGCTTCCCCACCTGGCAATCTGTTAGGAGATGAGCACGGGAAAGAAGTGAACAAAATAGACTACACACAATCAATATATTTAAATTTAACCAATGAGGTGTTTGAGGTGAAAATGGTTTGAACAATATAAAGAGAGAGATGAGGGCGAACAAAGACGTTTTTATTAGATCTGAACAAGGAGTTACAAAGAGAAGAGTAAAGAGGCGGACTAGCCGGGAATACAAGATGGTGAGTAAACAGGAAGGTGAGTAAACCCTAGATCTAACCACCTAGTCGCTAAGAAACCCTAGATCTAGCCGCCAAGTGAGTATGTCGAATTCCGGATCCCCTTTCCCTTTGCTGCCTCTCTCCTTTTATAGACCATGTCTTCGTGTTCGCCCTAGTTTAATCAACCTTGTTGGGCTTGATTCTTATTAGGCCCGTTTAGTAGTCCGGGTAAGTCGCACTTCAGCCGACTCTCTTAGTCGTGCTACTAAACGCGTCTCATGCTGAGTCGTTTTGATGTTAACTGGTGGGCCGAGTACGTTACCGTGTTGGGCTAAGTTTCCCCATTTGATGGGCCTTGCGGAGGGGTACAACCCATCTCCTACAATAAGTCCCCCCAGTTCATTTATGAGTTCATAAGACTCTAAGTGAATTTGTGGGTCAGGTTTGATCAAATGGGGAATCTAGCATGGGTGCACGTTTAGGCGACACCTCGGGCGTGTCTAGTCTCGCGGCTAGAACGTCGGTCACGAGCACGTTTAGGCGACACCTCGGGCGTGTCTAGTCTCGCGGCTAGAACGTCGGTCACGAGCACGGTTAGGCGACACCTCGGGCGTGTCTAGTCTCGCGGCTAGAACGTCGGTCATGAGCACGTTTAGGCGACACCTCGGGCGTGTCTAGTCTCGCGACTAGAACGTCGATCACGAGCACGTTTAGGCGACACCTCGAGCGCGTCTAATCTTGCGGCTTGAACATCGATCATGAGCACGTTTAGGCGACACCTCGAGCATGTCTAGTCTCGCGACTAGAATGTCGATGACGAGCACGTTTAGGCGACACCTCGAGCATGTCTAGTCTCGCGACTAGAACGTCGATCACGAGCACGTTTAGGCGACACCTCGAGCGCGTCTAGTCTCGCGGCTTGAACATCGATCATGAGCACGTTTAGGCGACGCCTCGAGCATGTCTAGTCTCGCGACTAGAATGTCGATCACGAGCACGTTTAGGCGACACCTCGAGCATGTCTTCATTGAGCTCGATGTGTTGCGGCATTTGAGAACGTCGGAGGCTAGAAACATTCACTTCAGCTGGAGCCATGGCTTCGACTCCGTATGCAAGAGAAAAGGGGGTTGATTTAGTCGCTCCCCTTGGTGTCGTACGATGGCTCCATAGGACACCGTCTAGTTCGTCGGCCCAGTGTCCTTTCTTGAGGTCCAGACGCTTTTTGATACCATCGACGATGAGCTTGTTAGAGGACTCGGCTTGACCGTTCCCTTGCGGGTATCTGGGTGTGGAGGGGCTCAGGCGAATGTTCCATTTGCCTCAGAAGTCCTTGAAATTCCCAGACATGAACTGCGAACCGTTGTCGGTTACAATTTCATACGGGAGACCGTAACGGCAGATGATGTTCTTCCAGACAAAACCGCGTACTTCTTTGTCAGTCACCTGAGGGAAAGCTTCAGCCTCGATCCACTTGGTGAAATAGTCTGTAAGGACTAAGACAAAGCGGCGCTGACGGGAAGGAACCATGGGGCCAATAATATCCATAGCCCAGCGCATGAACGGATAAGGAGCGGTAGAAGTTTGTAACACTTCCGTTGGGCAATGTATAACAGGGGCATGTCTCTGGCATTTGTCACATTGACGAGAATAGGATTCACAATCTGTGTTCATAGTCGGCCAAAAGAGTCCAGCGTTTCTGATCTTTAAGGCTAGGGCCCGTCCTCCGGAATGGTTTCCTCCAGCGCCGTCGTGGGTTTCGGCCATCGCACGTCGAATCTCATCGCCGTGAATGCATTTGAGGAGGACCCCGCATGCGTTGTATCTGAAAAGTTCGTCATCCATGACGGCATAATGTGCGCTGCGCCGTTTTAGTCGTATAGCCTCCCACTTCTCGGTTGGCAGTGTGCCGTGCGTGAGGTAGTTGATAAACTCCAAACGCCAGTCGACGGTCTGCTGATCGGTCTCAGTCATCGCTGTGACGTTGATGGGGGCAACAAGGGTAGCCGTCTCATTAGAAACGTTGATGCTCGGTTCGTCGATGCGATGTATCGGGATGGTTCACTCGATTTGGTCGCGCAATTTGCTTCCAAGGGCGGCGAGTGCATCTGCACAAGCGTTTTCACCGCGGGGTACCTTGGTTAGCTCGAAAAATTCGAATTCTTTTGCTAGCTCTTGAACGATACGGAGGTAGGCATCCATTCGATCGTTGCGGGTATCATAATCTCCGTTGTACTGACCGGCGACGAGCTGAGAGTCACAATACGCACTTACTCGCTTTGCTTTGACTGCCTTGGCCAGTCGTAGGCCGGCTATCAATGACTCGTACTCAGCTTCGTTGTTTGACGCTGGGAAGTCGAAGCTGAACGATTGTCGTATCAGTTCGCCAGTTGGGGATTAGAGTTGAACACCCGCGCCTGAACCCTTGTTCGTCGAGGAACCGTCCACATGTAGTATCCAATTCTGACTCGGGAGCTGGATGTCCTGTTCTAGTTCGGGTGCTAACTCGACAATGAAGTCAGCCAAGACCTGAGCTTTGAGGGCTGTGCGATTTTTATACGTTATGTTGAGATCCCCGAGTTCCACGGCCCACTTGGTCAGTCGACCAGCGCGATTCGTATTCTGCAGGACAGTTCGGAGGGGCTGATCAGTCAGCACCTCAACCGAGTGTGACTGAAAGTAGGGTCGAAGCTTCCTGGCTGCTTCTACCACAGCGAGAGCCATCTTCTCGAGAGCTGGATACCGAGTTTCCGGACCAGTCATGCGCTTGCTTGTGTAGAAGATTGGCTTCTGTTCGCCTCTGTCCTCCTTGATGTGGACGCTACTAACCGCTGCGCTAGAGACGGCGATGTAGAGTGAGAGGACGTCTCCTTCGTCTGGCTTTGCGAGGACTGGAGGGGTGGTGAGGTACTTCTTGAGCTGGGAGAAGGCTTCTTCGCACTTATCGTCCCAAACGAATTTCTTGTTTCCACGGAGAAGGTCATAGAAAGGGAGACATTTATCGGTTGATCTAGAAATGAAACGGTTAAGAGCGGCGATGCGACCAGTTAGCCGCTGGACTTCGCGGCTGTTCTTAGGACTTGGGAGATCGAGCACAGCTGATATTTGCTTTGGGTTGGCTTCAATCCCTCGTTGGGTAACGATGTAGCCTAGAAACTCGCCGGAAGAGACTCCAAACGTACACTTCGCTGGGTTCAGCTTCATCCCATACTTGTTTAGCGTTTCGAAGCAGTCGCGTAAATGGTTGAGGTGATCTTTGGCATGAAGCGACTTGACGAGCATATCGTCGATATAAACTTCCATGGTGCTACCGAGTTTATCGGCGAACATACGGTTGACGAGTCGCTGGTAGGTAGCACCGGCATTCTTCAACCCGAATGGCATGACTTTATAACAGTATGTTCCTCGGTCTGTGATGAACGATGTCTTCTCGCGATCATCGGGGTGCATCATGATCTGGTTGTAGCCCGAGAACGCATCCATGAAGGTGAGCATCTCGTTTCCTGCGGTTGACTCTACGAGACGGTCGATGCTGGGTAATGGGTAACTATCCTTCGGGCAAGCTTTGTTAAGATCGGTGAAGTCGACGCAGACGCGCCATTTCCCGGTTTTTTTTTTTGACCACCACAGGATTCGCTAGCCATTCCGGGTAACGAAACTCTGTGATTGAACCAGCTCCAATAAGTTGTTCGACTTCCTCGTTCACTGCTTTCGCTCTTTCCGGGCCCAGCTTACGTCTTTTCTGGCGGATAGGCTTGAAAGTGGGGTCGACGTTGAGCTCGTGGGTAGTTATTGCTGGATCGATTCCTTTCATATCCGTCACAGACCAAGAGAAGGTGAACACATTTTCCTTCAGGAATGTGAGCAATGCTCGCTGCATATCGTCGGCTAGATGTGCACCGACGCACACCGTCTTACTCGGATCGGAATCGTCTATAGGCATCTCCAGAACCTCGTCTTTCTGAGGGAAGGTTCGAGCGATCGGATGAGAGACAGAGTTGACTAGGGACGATGAACGTTGCAGCTTGACTGTGGCGATTAGCAGGTCTCGCGCGGCTTGCTGATCTCCGCGGACGGTCTTGATTGTTCCGTCTACCCCAGGGAATTTGATGCATTGGTGGTAGGTTGAGGGAACTGCTTGCATCGAATGTATCCATGGGGTTCCGAGAATGACATGATAAGGGGCTTTAGTGTTTACCACGGCGAATTTAACCGTTCGAGTAACTCCGCACGCGCGGACTGGGAGACGGATTGTCCCTAGGATGGTTTCTGATGAGCCGTTGAAGCCGGTCAAGGTCATTGAGGATGACTTGACGTCGTCGAAATCTACCCCCATCTTCTCAAGCGTATCACGAAAGATGAGGTCAACTGAGCTTCCTGTGTCGACAAGTACATTGGTTACATCGTACTTACCGATCTCAAGGACGACTAGCAGAGGATCGTTGTGGGGCAGGTGGACTCCGTTCAAGTCTTCGGGGGTAAAGCTGATCGGCGTGTGGCTTGGTGGCTTCGTAGGCCAGCATCTCAAAGACGCGGCTTGCCGCCGGTAGTCTTTGACGGAGCGGACAGAGTCGCCACAAGGAGGTGATCCACCCATGATGACGTTCAGCCGTGGTTTCGCGACTACTCGTTTGGTATCTAAGAATGTACGAAGATCCGCCAGGACGTTCTCGCCGCTCGGCTTTGACGAGTCCATGGTATGAGACGAGGTTGACTGCTCTAGCCGTTGATTTTTTTATTTGGAACGGTTTAGTCGCGCGCGTAAATCGGTCAGGTTAGCGTTGAGTTTGTCGCGCAGATCGGTGACAGACTTGTCGACCGACAAGGGAGGCTCCTTGGTTTCTAGGCGTCGTGACTTGTTGGCTTGGAGCTTGAGGCGGAGGTCTCTGCAGTTGACGTCACTGCATGTTGTCTCCTTTCGCTTTAGGAAGCTCCGCAGATCGCTTGATTCGGGCGAGTTATCGTCCTCGTCATCAGATGACAAAGGTTGCTGAGATCGTATTACTTCAATACGTTGACGGCTTGCTGGTTGTCCCTCGTCTCCCGAAGAGGCTTCGTTATCGGCTGCATCTGAAGGTTTGTCATCTGGACGGCGTTGCTCTCCGTTCTTACCACCGGACTTTCGCTGCGCGCGTTTATCTTTGTTCTTAGACCAACTCTTGCCGGATTTTGGTTTCTGCTTTGGGGGCTGAATCTTGAAGTCGCCTTTTTCAGCCGATGAGAGGAATTCAGCGTACATCGTACTACACTCGGTTGTGTCGTGTCCTTTGACGTCATGGTACTTACAGTGTTTGGTGAGGTCGACTCCTTTAGAAGATCCCGCTCCTGAGGTAGCCGGCGAAGCTGGTTGAGCCGGTCCGGCAGGACTAGCCAGACCTTTCAGAGCCGCCGTCTCTCGGTTGTACACGTTCCATGGCTCGCCGCGTACTGAGAAACTTGCGACTAGTGTGTTATTCTCGTCGACGACAAACAGAAGCCTGCTCTTTTGTTGTTTCTTGTCGCCGGAAGCGTGTTGACGCGGCTCCGGCTTTGCGTCAGAGGTCTTGGGCGTTGTCGGCTTTGCTGCGCTATGTTTGCCTATGATTGCTTTCATGTCCTCCTCCATTCGGATGAAGTTACGTGAGCGAGCTATGGCATCCTGGAGCGCCGTGGAGGTGCTTTGGTATAGGTCCTCTCGGAACTTGGAATCGAGATGGAGGGTGTTCATGAGAGCGTCGACGGCTATGTGGTCAGGGATGTCGATCTTTGAGACGATCGACTTGAAGCGCTCCATGAAGTCTCGAAGACTTTGGTCTTTAGTCTGCTTTAGGTTCCACAAGCTGGAGGCTGTCGCTTCGCGCTTGGTGAACATGATGTAGGTTTTGAGGAAAGCCGACGAAAGCTATCTGAAGCTGCTGATGGAGTTCTCTTTGAGACCTGAGAACCAGGTCAAGGCTTGGTCTTGGAGTGTTTCCACGAACAGCTGACAGTATGCGGCGTCTCTTTCGTCGTCGGGTAGCCGCGCTTGGGCCATCGCGATGTTGAAAACAGTCATATGCTCCACAGGATCACCGCCGGGTTTGTACTACGGGACGCGCAGCTTCTCAATCTTGCGGAAGTTTACGCTAGTCAACGTACTGGTGAATGGAGTACGCTCGGTTGAAGCGAGAACACTCTCGATCTGTGGAGCGGCGCTAGTAACCTTGTGAATCGTGGAGCTCATATGTTGGAGGTTCAGTTTGAGCTCGGCGATTTCACGGACAGTCGTGAGATCTGGGCCGACTTGAGCTGCTTCTGCAGCGTGCGGCTCGGTGGGTTCCGACTCTTCGGAGGTATGGTCGGCTACCGGCGCTGTCGGGTTGGTGTTGAAGTGATGACGTCGGAACGGTTGAGAGTTACTCGTCTGCCCGGCGGGAGCTGCTGTTAACGCTGCTACGAGTGCGGCGAGTTGAGCTTGAGTCTCCTTTTGGATTTCGTCTTGTCTGGCGAAACGCGCCATGACGGAGCTCATGAACTCGGGCGGAAGGGGTGCTTCGGGTACGGGAGTCTGAGTCGGCTCCTCCCCGGCGGTTCCGGAGACGATTCCGTCGTCAGGCATGTCTAGATCTGATAACGTTGCTTTGTTCAGAGCCCCACGGTGGGCGCCAAATTGTTTGAGGTGAAAATGGTTTGAACAATATAAAGAGAGAGATGAGGGCGAACAAAGACGTTTTTATTAGATCTGAACAAGGAGTTACAAAGAGAAGAGTAAAGAGGCGGACTAGCCGAGAATACAAGATGGTGAGTAAACAGGAAGGTGAGTAAACGGGGAGGTGAGTAAACGGGAAGGTGAGTAAACCCTAGATCTAACCACCTAGTCGCTAAGAAACCCTAGATCTAGCCGCCAAGTGAGTATGTCGAATTCTGGATCCCCTTTCCCTTTGCTGTCTCTCTCCTTTTATAGACCATGTCTTCGTGTTCGCCCTAGTTTAATCAAGCCTTGTTGGGCTTGATTCTTATTAGGCCCGTTTAGTAGTCCGGGTAAGTCGCACTTCAGCCGACTCTCTTAGTCGTGCTACTAAACGCGTCTCATGCTGAGTCGTTTTGATGTTAACTGGTGGGCCGAGTACGTTACCGTGTTGGGTTAAGTTTCCCCATTTGATGGGCCTTGCGGAGGGGTACAACCCATCTCCTACATGAGGGTTTACTAAGTAGAATAAGAGGACTCACCTGGAAAGCCCATATTTCCTTGCAGCTATTTCAAAGTCAAAGTAAATATGCGTGGCTAAAGTTCCATTGAGATATAACTTTCCTGTAAAGAAAGAAATAAGATTTAGCTAAGAGATGTACAAAACAGACAAGTGGCAACATTGACTGGCGAACCTATGTTCCAATGCAATAACAGATGAAAACAAATACTCTCTTACTCCCAATTATCTTAGATTCACACAGGTGATAAGAACAACTCTTGGCTCTTTACCATAGCCATCGAATTTGGTATGGAATGTAAGAGCTAAACCGTCAAACAAACTAACACAAACGTTGACATTCCTGCGCATAACAACTTATTTGGCAGATCAAGTTCTGGTGATAATTGTTCTTGAAATAAATGAATGATTGAAGAATTTAAATCTTGAATGATATAATGAGATTAAATAATATAACAAATGGAAAATACCTGGTATACCGTCGGTTATTGTGCTCTTAGTTTCACTGAGCTCTCCCATTATGTCTGGTAAATTATTACATGGGATGTAGTTAGCTCATGTTATCACAGAAACCAACTTCAACACTAAAGATACATAACAGAGAGCATTTTCCCGCAATTTGCTAGCTCAAGTAACCGTGCATGGGGTTTGAAGCGGAATCCATAGGTATGGTCCTAGCAGTTGTTGTTAGTTTCTCAAAAGAAGTACCATCAGTGAAACGTATGGATAGGGCCGAATCAGATAATCGGTAGTTGGGGTTTAGCGTGTAGACAGAGCCCTCACTGAGATTCTCTCTGAATCTGAGCTGGCGAGCAACACCAATAAAATTGCTTGCATTAGCGTTGACTGTTTCAAAGGCATTCGGAAAAAATAATCAGAATCGAAAAAAGGTAATTGTTCTCAGGTTATATCGAAAAAGAAAGGCTCTTACGTTCGTTGCCTCTGTTGATATTTCTGGCCTCCCAAAATCTCAAGAGACGATGTTAGAGCAGCGGCCGGCTTTCAGATCGGGGCTATCGTCGGATTCGGATGTTAGAACCAAAGATACTAAGTTTTTTCTTGCTATTCTCTGATTTGCAGCGTCAATGGCTGGAAGGTAATGAGTGAAGAAGATGTTATGGTTGTCGCATCGGAGAACGATGGAAAAAGAACCCTATCAATTTGGTGGGCTTTCGCATGATGTTTCTAAGGCCCAAATGAAATGAATAGTAGCCCATATCCGTTGACAGAGGAAAGTAAAGTAGAAAGAGAAGGTTTGTGGGAAAGCTGACGTGGCGACAAACCCCCTATCTCGAGAGTGATGTGGAGGCTTATGGAGACAGATAACCTTACTTTATTATTTTAGATTTTTTTTGCCATTTTGATAATTTTTTTATTTTACTGATTTTAAAATTAATGTTAATATTTGTAAATATGCTTTGGTTATTTTATATATCCATCCTATCCTTCTACAATTCTAGGTTTTTAATCACTTGAAAGTTAAACTTCCCCAAAACGTTCATAAAAACAATTCCATGTAAAATATAAAATGCTAAGATCTTAACCTTTTAATCATCATTATAACCCCATCTGAAATCGTTAGTTATCATTATACATAATCTCGTATCAAATCGATTAATCTATCGCTCAAACATACTTATATAATCATATCTCAAACTTATCTCTACAATCAATGTTCCAAAACGAAATATTTTAATATTTCAAATGAACAAAATACTGAAAGTTTTTAAAACAGAGAAAGAGAGTTAAAGAGATCTTGACCACTATAGAGACAATCATAACAATACAAGCATTGATGAAACTTGAGTCCATAAGTTAGAGTTACTTACGGGCCGAAAGTTTCAGGCCCATTAACTTCCAGGGCACATAATCAACAACGTATAAATCTTAAATCACACCCTTCTTCTCTGTCTCCCTCTTTCCTAAAACCCTAATCTCAATGACAACCACCGTAGCATCACCGCCGCCACATCACCCAGAGCAACTCGCTCCACCTTCAAGAGTAAGCCCCAAGACCCTCGAAGGCGCCGTCACCGCACTACTCAAATGGAGAAGCGAGAAATCAAAAACAGAGAAACCTCAACTCCTGGAGCAAGACGAGTTCATCTACCTAATCATAACCCTAAAGAAAATCCCACAAACAAACCGCACAAAGCCTCACCGCATCCTCCTCCCTCACCCTCTCATCAACACTCAAGAAGACTCTCCTGAGCTTTGCCTCATCATCGACGACAGACCTAAAAGCGGACTCACGAAAGAAGACGCGAAGAAGAAGATCGAATCCGACAACATCCCCATCACCAAGATCCTCAAGCTCTCGAAGCTCAAGACTGATTACAAAGCCTACGAAGCTAAGCGTAAGCTTTGTGATTCTTACGAGATGTTTTTCGCTGATAGGAGAGTGATTCCTCTGCTTCCGAGGTTGATCGGGAAGAAGTTTTTCACGAGCAAGAAGTTACCTGCTGCTGTGGATTTGAAGCACAAGAATTGGAAGGAGCAGGTGGAGAAGGCTTGTGGGTCCGCGATGTTTTTCGTTAGGACGGGGACGTGTAGTGTTGTGAAAGTTGGGAAGTTGTCTATGGAAGGGGATGAGATTGTTGAGAATGTGATGGAGTGTTTGAATGGGGCTGTTGAGGTTTTGCCGGGTAAGTGGAAGTATGTTCGGTCTTTGCATTTGAAGTTGTCGGAGAGTGTGGCTTTGCCTGTTTATCAGAGTGTTCCTGATTTGAAGCTGAAGATTGATGCTTTTGGGAGTGGGAAGAGTGTTGTTGTTAAGGAGGAGGAGGAGAAGAGTGAGGTGGTGAAGGAGGAGAAGAAGAAGAAGAAAGGGAGGATTCATGAGGTTAGGTATATGGATAGTAATGTGTCTGAGGTGCTTGATGATGATGAGATTGGTGATGTTGAAGTAGTGCCTAATGAGATTATTGAGTCTAAGGAGAAGAAGAAGAGGAAGAAGGAGGTGGCTGAGGTTGTAGAAGCTGAGAAGCCTAAGAAGAAAGTGGCTAAGGGGAAGGTGAAAGAGAAGAGTAAGGATGAGTTAAATCCTAAGAAGAAGACGACTAAGGTTACGAAACAAGGGTCTGGTGGTGGTTTGAAACCAAAGAGGAAGAAGACTGCTTAGAAAGGGAATGAAAGATCTGTTTTTTTTTGCTTCTTTTTCAATTGGGTAATTTTATGTTTTATCTTAGTGCTGATTACACTTTGGAGTCTTTCATATCTTGTACTGATGCTTATTTTAAATGTTGAACCTGTGTTACTGTTGTTTGGTGGTTTTGTGGAGTAAACAAAACTACTGTTACCAGTTTTGAGCTTTTCTTATTAACCTTCATGTGTTGTAGCTATGTTTGATATGAATGGCTCACGCAAGGTTAACTCTACAATCTGATTATCTCTAACGATCCCAATACCAAAAACCCGAAATAACCCCGAAAGTGAACCCTAATCTGGTGTGTTATTCCTCGTGGGTTTTAGATGTAAGGTAAGTCATACTGAAAAGCCCATTAAAGGTTTGATTGGTTTACCCCCAACACCCCAAACGCAGTTTGTACAATTAGTAGCGATTAATATTGTTTTGTAACAATCACAGAAAATGCTACAAACTGCTTCAAATCGTACTAAACTTCTAAAATTCAAAAACTAATTTCAGCAAATGTTTGTGATTATAGACATTTGCGAGAGGGTAAAAACTTTTCTTTTTTCAAAAAATTATAAAAGTATAAAAATAGAATATTTAATTATTTTTTTTAAATTAAAATAATAAAATTACCAAAGTATATATATCATATTATAAGACTTCAGAAAAAAAAATATTATTTAAAAAAATATTAGTAGTATAATTTTATCAATATAACTTTTATATTTACTATAAAAATTTAATTTTAATATTTTGATAATTAGATAAATGTAAATATGGTTAATATATTATTTAACTTTAATTGCATTTAATAATTAATTAGTTATAATTATCTCGCAAACGTAACAATTTTTCTACCAGTGGTCCAAATCTCTTACTAATGTGCCGTTACACCAGTGAGATCCTAAATAAGCCCAAATTGAGTTGATATATATACAAATCCTAAAAACCTCATTAGTTAGCAAAGTTGCCGCAGTAGTCTTCTCGATCGACGGAGGTGAGTGGATTAAAAAAAACACATCGATTTCCTCCATTAAATCAGTTAGATTTGACTCACTTTTGTTAATTAAAAAAATTGTAGTGAAAGAGAAAGAGCAAGGATCAAGGAATCAAAGGCAAGACTGCTTCCTTTCTTTCTCTTATTTAATTCAGTGTTTTTTTTTTAAATAATATATTTCTCTGCATTGTCGGTTGTGATTATAAAACTCTTGTTAGTGAACTTTAGGGACACCGGACACTGTTAGAGAGTATAAAAAAAAAAACTCTTGGGTATTGAATAGTCGAAACTATGAAAGATTCATTATTTTGTTATATTGATATGATTTTTTTTTCTTTATAAATTGAAGATAATGGATAATCCGAAAGCTACACATCCTTATGCCACGTCGACAACTGTTGTTCTTTGGAACGCAGAGAGGTGCAAGATCCCAAGTGGTGTCACGGCTAGTGACATACTACCACGGATACAAACGAGCTTGGTGGAGCTAGGCTACGTTGGTCCGTTAGAAATGACTGCAATCGTGGCAAATGAGAATCGCTTTAATCCTGCAGAAACTGCATCACTACGAAAGAGTGGAATACGGATTGCCAACTTCCGTGAAGGAGATGAAGGTTAGGGGTGTTTAAACTTTTTTCAGTCTTTTGTTAGTTACTAACTTTCCTTGTGTTTATTTTTTCTACAGTACTCGTGGACTTCATAATCATGGACTTAATCGTGAATGATTTGGTCCGTGTGCGTCCGGCTAATGTACTAGTCATCTCCGGAGGTGGTCGGTTTTCTGACAACTTGCCTCGCTACCTCACCGATTTGAAGTGTCTTGATATCAATGTGATGTATGCATTTTGTCCCGAAGCTGCTGCACCAAGCCATTGTCTGTTCTCAACCACTTGGGAGTGGTTAAGTCTTCTCAAGTTGGAAGACTAGATTTTTAAAAAAAAATAATGTCGTTAATTATATCTATCGCTCTCTCTTTTGAGTGTACTTAATTGGGTGTTATTTTGTGCGTTTTGCTGTATTAGGAATGTTTATCTCTCAACTATCAGTCTATCACATTTATTAATCGATGGAAGTAAGCATCTATGAAATTAAAAATCCATTGTTTGTTGAACAGTTAATTCTTATCAAACTAGTAAAGAATAGTAACGATGTATATACTAGTAAAACACTATCATACAAATGAAATAGGCTGAAACTCAATATAAAGAACCTCTTGACCACAAAGCAGCAAGCCTTCTGAATAGTTTACCAATTTTATGAAACTAAATACATTGTCTGTGAGCAATTGTTCTAACAAAAAAATATTATCATATTGTACTAGTGAAGAGATAGTAAAGATGTATGCAGTAGTAAAACATTATCATATAATTGAAACCCAATGTGGTCACTGAGAAATTCCTGACCACAAAGCAAAGCAAAGCAAGCCTCTGAACGGTTTACCAATTTTATTCTCCTGATGATAAAAGCTCCTTCTTTCTGCTCTTTTTCTTAATATGGCTTAAAACCTTGTCATGATCTCATTTTCTAATCACAGGACCTCTGTACGGAACTTTCCATATCACAAAGTTATCTGGAGGCTGATACTCTTCAAGCCATGTCACGTCTGATATCACTTCTCCATTCATCACTTCAATCTCACCTGATTTCACAGACATCATCATCAACAACCACAACATATTCCATCGTAACATTGATAACCGTAAACCACTTATGTTAAGCTATAAAATCTAATGAAAAACCTACATAATCAAGAACCTATACAAACCATGATTTCTTAACAAAGTGTTATGAAATTAGAAACACTAAGGTGGTGTTTTTAGTTAAGTTTGTGTTATGTTACCTGGCAAGTCACGTAATGGGGATTTGCGGAAGTAGTTGCAGTGTCTTCCATGAGGTGAAGAGTATGGAGGAGATAAGATATCGAAGATTGCACAATGAGTAATGGCTTTGAAACAATGGATGTTTCCACCAGTTGTTGGATACAGCGTGGTTGCTGGGCAAGGAGCCGTCATGTCAGTATCCTTAACCAGCTTTGCAGGTCTTGCTATGAATAAAATGGGAAGGGTTACTGAAATTATTCATAGAGGACAGTAATAACATTGAGCGGTATACATGTTTACCTTGCAATGGATCGTCTAGCTCTGATGGATCAGGCTCAACCCAATCATAAGACTTCACGTGCATTGAACCGTAAACGAGCTTGCTTACCACAGTCATGCCTGGATGATTATGAAGTGGTATGACAGATGAAGGTGGCATGCAGAAAATCCCAATCTGACAAAAGAATAATGAGTCATAAGCAGACAAGAAAATCAAGAAACCACACCATATTTCAAAACCCGCATCAACACTTGTCCTTCTGGTTACAACATGAGAAGCCTATCAGTGGCATTTCTATCCAAATACTATCAGTGGTATATGACTTTACTCAAGATTTCATAGCTATGGACTATACGCTTCTTTGAACACATTGATAACGGCACACTCAAAAGCACCAGCAATCTCAAAAGAAAGTTTTCTTACCGAGAAGCTGTCACACTCATGTAGATGAAGGTATTTTATTGCTGGCAGAGAATTATGGTTTCCATTACGATCGTTCCCAGGACCAGACCAGTTACGCACCAATTGAGCTTCCTGTTCGAGACCAACATCAGACGGCTTGATTTTCTCTGAAATTAAAAATACCAAGTATCACTTACGTCTGCTAGTAAGAGACCCCTTACAAACAACAATAGTCTAACAACCACAAGAAACAGAGATATACAAAACAGCAATGTAGTCCAGACATAATTGTCAACAAAAGTTTCCTAAAGAAGACGAGAAGGTAGAAGAAATTTAAGAGAACTGCAAGACAGCTACAAGAGTAGTCTAACGAGATAGGAGAGTGCAAAAACCCAACATAACAGTGCAATTCAGACATGACTACCAGAACATAATGCCTAAAGAACATGATGTAGCAAGCCAAGATTGAAGTAAAAAGAGTGAAAGAAACTTCTTTGAAAAAAACGTAGTCGTACGTACCCAACATGTTGCGAACCTTGTCTAAGGCTTCCTTAGACACAGGTCCATTAGCAGAGAGAGAGGCCTTGCACGTATTGAAAAGCCTCTGAATATAATACGGCATGATCTTCCAACTTCTTGAGCTCCTCTATCACTCTCTTCACGCAAATCAAAAGGTTTCGACTTTGAAGAATGGGCAGCTTCTGTTTCCAGTTTCAGATATTACTATAAAAGAGCAACAGAGATCGATCACCTTCTTCAAAAATGATTCTCAAGCACTGCCCTGAGTGAATAAAGACAAAAGCCAACAACTTTAAACATATATCACAAACTCAAAGATAAGGGTCTCTCTCACAAACGCAAGGTGATGTTATTGAAAAGCTCTAAACAAGTGAAAATAATCAACTTTTTTATTTCACTGAATCTTAAAATCGAACAGAATCTAAATGAATGGTGCCAAGCTAAGATAGAAGCAGGAGACGACAAGTGGATTTCAATTTCAATGATTAAAAGAGAGATGAAGAGAAGGACCTTTCGAGCAGAGGAATTAAAAAACAAAAAATCAGAAGAAAACGGCGACGAAGAAGAAAGAATTGAATCGGAGGAAAACGATGGTTTTTAGACGGAGGGAGGAAGAATCAGAATTTGATTCTTTTTGTCTCTTTTGCTTTATGATTCACTTTCTTCGCCCTTAACTTTTTGAAACTGTCTATTTAAACCCTTAGCTCTCGAATCAAATTCCCACTGCTCTCTCTCTCGACCTTTGTCATTTGTAGGAAGACAAGAAAGAAGACATTAATAATTTACAGCTGTGTTTTTTTGTTGCTAATCAGCTACAGTTACACACGTTAAGTTACAGAAATAAATTTTGATACATTCCCCTTATTGAGTTATGTAAACAAGTTATGACGAACTTTTTAATAGCATTGATTGTATTTGCTATATATGCAACAAAAAGAATCAAGAGACAATTGCTCAAGAATCAAACAAAATCTCATACTATTCAATAATCTTAAGTTATGGTTAAGAAACAAGTAACCCTTACTGGATCTTGCTCTTGGAGTATTTATAACTTATTTCTATATTTGTTTTCTTGATATTTAGAAGTAAAACTACTCCAATTTATTTCCATTATTCATGTAAAATATAAATTACTATTTTAATACTTATTTAGAAAGAAATATTATCCTGTTATATTTTTACTCTATATTTAAAGATTGCTGTTTCAAATAAATATATTAGAGTATTTTTTTTCTTTATTATATTTTTAAAAAAGTACATTATTATATCACCTTATTATTCAGATGATGATGGTAAAATAAAATGTTAGAAGTCCGCTTTATATTCGGCCTCCCTACCAGGTCGAAACGGGCTTGAAGAAAGCCTCAGTGCCTCGGCAAAGATATTTTGCTGAGAGAATTCGCGGGGACCCCATCAGTGTTGGCTATTTACTAAACTACCCCAGAAATATCGTAAATATAAAATACAAAATGATAAGGCTTGGTCTGTTGTTATACGCTGACTCTCTCTCTCAGAAACCCTAGAAAGGCGGTTGAAGAAGGATTCTCACAAGCGAAGCCATGGCAGGAATAGGACCGATGACTCAGGATTGGGAGCCAGTGGTGATCCGTAAGAAAACTCCCAACGCTGCGGCCAAGCGCGACGAGAAGACTGTCAACGCTGCTCGTAGAAGCGGCGCCGATATCGAATCCGTCCGAAAATGTTTGTTTTCTTTTAAATCTGCCTTTCGTAGTTTTATATGGTTTAGGTTTAGATTTGAGCGATTGATTGAATCGAGATGAGTTTTGTTCCCCTTGTGCACTTAGTTTCAATTGTTTAGGGTATTGCGATTTCTTGGAATCAGGATATGCGTTTGTTGTCGTTTGTTGTGATTTTGATTTTCGTTTGTTGATTGATATATCTGTTTTGACATCTAACGTGGAATTGTTTTTTGGTTGTTGTGAGTTTAGACAATGCTGGAACGAACAAGGCGGCTTCAAGTGGCACGTCCTTGAACACGAAGAGGCTTGATGATGACACTGAGAACTTGGCTCGTGAGTCTCTAATCTCCTCCTTTATTAACTTCATACGAGTATCTTCCCCTGTGTTCTATATCACAGTAGTATCTTCCTTGGCTCATAATGTTTTCTCCTGTCTTGATTTATAGTGAGAGGTAGTCTTGGACTCTTGGGTTATAGTGAAATGAGTCAAAGCTTTATATATTTGTACCTGTGTCAGCCTTTTCAGTGATAGATTGATGAAGTGTGTTGGTTTGTATATAACAGCGTGTTTATGATGTGTATGGTTTTTTGTCTATAATTCAGACGAGCGTGTGCCTACTGAGTTGAAGAAAGCCATCATGCATGCCCGAGGCGAGAAGAAGCTCACCCAGTCCCAACTCGCTCAAGTACACTACTTTCTCTCTTGTTTTCTGTTGTAATGTGATTGGACTCGTGATGTGGTAATAATGATATGGTATTATTGGTTGTGTAGCTGATCAATGAGAAGCCGCAAGTGATCCAAGAATACGAGTCTGGGAAAGCAATACCGAACCAGCAGATCCTTTCTAAGCTGGAGAGGGCTCTTGGTGCTAAACTCCGTGGAAAGAAGTAATAACAAATGCTCCTCAGAAGATAAAGATAAAGAGCTAGTCGCTGTTCTCTCTAAAGTTCATATGCTATAGAAACTATCTCTATAATATATGCGTGGTTCAGTGATCTTTAGTAGAGTTCTGCGAGGTATCTTTTATGGTGTGTAAGAAAACAAAGAAACATTAGCTGTTTGGACCCTCCTTTTGTCAGTATAAATAATCCGCTCGTTATCTTTGCATATCATCATAGCACAAACTTAATTCAGAATTCAACATCCTGATTGAACTCGTACTTAACAATCAATCAAATCAGGAGTAGTTATTTACTATGTACAGTGAAACCTCTATAAATTAATAATGTTGGGACTACACCAAAACTAAATTTTTTATTAATTTATAGAGATTATTAATTTATCGAAATATTAATTGAACCAAAAATTCAATTTGGGACTATGAAATTATATTAATTTATAGAGATATTAATTTATAGATTATTAATTTAAAGAGGTTATACTGTAGGTTGATAGAGACAAAGTAGTAAACATAATGTATCCAAGACTGGAAGGACAGTAGTCGATGAAAAAGGTTGTTCTGGTTGAAGCATTAGCAGTAATGTGTGTAGAAGCAGAAGCTGACTACATATGTTTTAATGGTAGATGTGGTGCAGTCACCGGTTCCATTAGTGATAGATAAGCCATAGGTCAGGTTCTAAGCCTAGTTGCTGCCCTAGTAGCTTTAGCCTGGCTCCGTCTCTAATTCAGAGAAATAACATGATTAGTTATACCAATGTAACATTTTTGAGTGATCGATAATGGAACCTTTCATCAAAATCATTTTTGAATAAAACCGAGAAATGGTTGACCACCCAAAAGGAGATCTCAAAATATCTATGGGCCAATCCTGGCCTATTCTGGGCACATACCGGGAATAAACCGAAATCAAATGTGTAAGAACCGTTAGGTCACGTGAGGGGAACGTGGGCTTGTTGGACGGATGAGGGTAAAATCGTCATTTCAGTAGTCAGATATAGATCTAGGGTTTATATATTTTGCTGCGGCATCTTCGTTCTCCTTTAAGCTTCAACCTTTGCCGTTCCCCGGAGTTTTCTCGCAACCCGAATCCAAAATGGTCCGTTGCAGTTATCTTCTTGTGTTTGCGATGTTTCTAGTAAAGATTTGGTATTGATTATTCATTTTTATTGAAACAGGCGTCGGAGAAGAAGCTATCGAACCCAATGAGGGACATTAAAGTGCAGAAGCTTGTCCTCAACATCTCTGTCGGTGAGAGTGGAGATCGTCTCACCAGAGCCTCCAAGGTTTTGGAGCAATTGAGTGGCCAGACTCCTGTCTTCTCCAAGGGTTAGTCTTCTTACTACTACTTAAATCAGTCTTGAGCAACTTTTAGCTGCCTAGAGATAAGAGTATAGGTAGAGAACATTGGCAATAAGTTTCTGACATGTTTTGGACAATCATCTTATTCATGTTTAGTTACTTTGCTTTTGTCTTTGCAGCACGGTACACTGTTCGTTCTTTTGGTATTAGACGTAACGAGAAGATTGCTTGCTACGTTACTGTCAGGGGAGACAAGGCAATGCAGCTCCTTGAGAGTGGACTCAAGGTTAAAGAGTATGAGCTCTTGAGAAGGAACTTCAGTGACACTGGTTGCTTCGGTTTCGGCATTCAGGAGCACATTGATTTGGGTATCAAGTAAGTCTCATCACTGTTTCCAACACTGATGATATAGAAACAAACAAAAGAGGCTCTTTGTTTAATCAAATCATTTGTATGGGTTTTAAGGTATGATCCGTCTACTGGAATCTACGGTATGGACTTCTATGTTGTTCTTGAGCGTCCTGGTTACCGTGTGGCTCGTCGCAGAAGATGCAAGGCTCGTGTTGGAATCCAGCATAGAGTGACGAAAGATGATGCCATGAAATGGTTCCAAGTTAAATACGAAGGAGTCATTCTCAACAAGTCTCAGAACATTACTGGTTAACACACAAAAAATGTCTCAGTCAGATATCTATAATCTGTGTTTTTCTTTTCCCTGGTTTGAATCTTATTTTATCAGTTTTGTTTTTGCTTCTTTGTTCTTCAGACATTTGAGTTTTCTTTTCAGACCATTACCTATCTACAATGAATGATTACCATCAAAACAGGTAAAACCGGAGCTAATATCACATTCCAGTATCTAATTATTTCTTTTCCGATGGAATGTTAGGTAATGAACATTCTTTAGATGTTATGAAGTTAACGCTAAACCATGTTTTGAGAACGAGATTCCATAGCTCAACAATTATCGAAGACGATTCTTCTATGGAATGTTTCTTATAGAAAATCTTCGTTAAAATTTTGAACTTTACCGTTCAAAATAATTTTTGAATTTGTTTTGGTTCTAATCTGATTAGTTTTTTTTTAAACAATAAAGTAAACATACTTCAGCTATTTCATTAATTTATTTAACCAAAAATATAAACTTAAAAAAATATTGTTTATATATATTTATTATTATTTAATATAAAATTAAGATAATTCAACTAATTATAAAAAATCAACATTGGTAATACAATAGCCAATAGTTGCACAAGTAATACATTACCCAATAAATATTAAAAGTTAAGAGAAATATGAAATCACTAATATTTTAAAACAAAAATGTTTATAGAACATTTATTATTATAAAACATAGGAAGTATGTCATAAGGGATCGATTTAATATTTTTATATTAGTTTTTTTGTCATCAACATTACAGATTCAATTGATTATGCTAACCAAATGGCTGTCTCAATATATCCATATGAACGATGAAATGTGGTTGAATCCGAATATTCTATGCCAGATTATCCATTTTTATGTTTTGAGTTCTTGGTATATAAATGAGATTCGAGTAAGTAAAACTCTCCTTGATAGTTTGAAATCTTCCAAATATATTGCATAAGCTGGTTATTTTTGAGGTTCTTAAACTATCTCACCATTTGAAAATAATTTGTTGTAAAAATTATTTGAAATTGCCGTAAGATCTTCATATATTTCATTGTCCAAATAAGATTTTCTATTTTCGAATGAATGGGTGATAAGAACATCTCCACTAGGGGTTCTATCCATTGGAGTTTTAAACTTGTATGAGACTCGAGTAAGTAAAACTCTCCTTGATAGTTTGAAATCTTCCAAATATATTGCATAAGCTGGTTATTTTTGAGGTTCTTAAACTATCTCACCATTTGAAAATAATTTGTTGTAAAAATTATTTGAATTTTCCGTAAGATCTTCATATTCATTGTTCAAATAAGATTTTCTATTTTCGAATGAATGGGTGATAAGAACATCTCCACTAGGGGTTTTATCCATTGGAGTTTTAAACTTGTATATGTGTTTTTTTCTGTAACACTTTCTAATTATTTCTGCCAAATGAGCTGCACTTTCATCGGTAAACTTGTATATGTGTATAAGTATATATTGTATATGTAATGTAGGTGTGGAGTCTACTATTTTTTGGAGAGTCTCACCCTAAAAGTTCCTAAAATTTTGGGTTCTCCACAAAATAGTGGGTTCACACCTACATCATTTATACAATACATACTTATACACATATACAAGTTTAGAATTTCAGTGGATAGAATTTTGTGCTCTAAGCTAGTTCTTGTATTTTTGGTCCTATCAATCCATTAAATCCTTTTAGAGTGCTATACCATCCTTGACATGAAAACTTATCCTTTTCTTTTTATAATCCATCCGAAAAGCACCAACGATCTGGTATATATGGTAATGTTTAGAGCTTCATCTGTTCAGATTTTATGGAAGAAGAAATCATTTGTTTAAATTTTAAACAACTCCAACAGAAAATTCTCACAAAAGTTATCAAATGTTAGAAATAGTAAATGAATGACATATTTCGAGATGGAGTTTTCATAATTTTACAGTATGTCCAACAAACTCATTTTGAGGATGAATGATTTTTAAAATGAAGATTTGAAGTTGGATTAGTTTTTAAAAGAACTTCAAATATATCTTTAAATATTTTTATATTATCTTTGATTTTTCAACCTTCATAATAATTAATTATAAGCACTCGTTTTTATAAATAAATAATAAATTAAAATGCAAAATTATTTATAATTCATGTATAGATACTTTGGTTTCACTAATAAAATCCTTAATCTTTAAATAAACTGCATCAACTAGGACAAAAGTCTAATACAGTGAAACCATCAGGGTTTGAGTCCCAGCTACTAGGAAATTAACATTTCGATATTGCCATGGACATTGCAACACGTAACTAGTATGAACCACTTCTGTGATGCCAAAAAATCCATTTATAATTCAAAATAAATAAATAAATAAACTGCATCGCTTAGAGAAAAAAAATACAAAATGGTTAAATTACATATACATAATATTTCTATTTTGCATAGTAATATATTAAAATTTTGATCTAAATTTTAACATAATTATTTATTTTATATATCAATAATAATATGTATGTGAAAATATATTTAAATATTAATAAAAATATAATTATAATTATAAAGATTAAGAGTGATATTAAATTAATATTAATAAAATTATATGTAAATTACATAATTATAAGGATTAAAATAAGTAAATGGTGTTTTGAGGTTTTAAATAGTAAAATTTTAAATCTGAAGTTTCAATTTTCAAACCCTCAAAAATTAAAGGTTTGAAGACTCGTTGGAGAACCAAAAGCCTCAAATTTATTGGTTCAAGATTGGAGATTCTCTGAAAATATTTTTAATAAAATACAAATAATTTTATATACCTTATCATAACTTTTTTTTTTGAGAACCTCATAATGAGTTGTTCTTATAGAAATTGCACTCTATAGCCAAACAAAAAAACTTAAATTATTTTCTCTATTCTCAATCTAAAAATCTAATTTTGTTTTTCTTGGCTATTTCACAAATTTTCCCTGGTTATTATGTTCTCCTTTCAATGAGTTAGTCTTATCTAACATGGAGAAACATTTTTGACATCATTGCCTCCGATTAAGGGACGAAAGTGTTTTCTGGATGGATCATGTAAAATTCAAGATATATTTTTTATGGCAAGGAATATAGAACATTCTAGAAGATTTTGATGCTTTGATAGAGGCAAAAAAACACGAGGGCTAATATTTTACCCTTATATGCCAAACTGAAAGTTTTCATCAGGACATTGGAAGTCATGAGATATCTACGATAACAACAGATTGTTTTAAATTGGTGAAGATGATTTTTGAACCTACATAATGATCAACATATGCAAGTTATTTGGAAAATATTTGAATTCTGAGAGACCATTTTAATTACTCTATAACTATTTATATATCAACAACGTAAAATTTAAGGATGAAAAGTTTGACATGCAATAGTCGGAAATAATCATCTTTTATTGTTTACATGAATCTTGAGTTATCAAATCAGTTCGCAGAATATTAATTGAATGTTGGTTGATGATTGAAAAAATCAGCCCATGACATTCCCGGTTATTTTGGTAAGATTAGAGCACCCCTATTGAGAGTTCAAATGGGGGTTCACATGGAAACCAAAAAAAAAATAACAAAAACTTATGAATCCCTCTCTCCTAAAATTCTTTCGGGTGAACCCTTTTCTCCTAAGGTTCAACACGTGGCGGTTCGAGATTGATCTAAGTTTTTTTTTTCTTTTTTTAAAGAAAAAGTTAAAAAGTAAACAGAAAAAATTTAATAATAAAATATTGATTCAATGAATTTCAAGAGGGAGTTCATTGATGTGGATGCTCTTAGAGAGAAAACTCATTTGACTGGATTAGTGTTCGGTTTAACTTTCTGAATGGATTTTCAGATTAAGCTTAGCCTCCTGATGCAACTGTGTATATACTGAACGCATAAAACTACGTGAAACTATCGAACGAATGCGAAAATCCGTTTATACTATATTTTCTGTAAGAATCTTTGACTGTGTGATTATATGTAAATATAACAAGACGTGTCGATAACAAATTACCTTGTACTTGTACACCATTATAATATAACAAGAGCAACAACATTATCCAATCATGTTTCCATTGTCAATTCTCAACTGCATCAGATTCGAGCGAATTATTGATTGGTTCCACATTAACTATCATGACGATAAGGAAAAAAAAACTATCGTGAAGAGAAATGACCAAACCAAAACATTTATATAAATTAATGAAAAACCTATACAACCAGAAAATAAAAACTTTGGCTGCATTCTGACAGACGTTGGCGACAATAATGGAGTAATTAAACAAATAATTATGACACAAGCAATTATAACTTTTTATCTATTTATTATTTACAATTTAATAAATGACTAGGGATCTTGACATGATCCACACATATAAAAATAGAGAGCCATTGACAGCCTAACTTTCTGTACTCATTTATAAAAAAAAATATAAAGTCATGTTTTTCGTTATATTTTTCTCTTTATCCCAAATAAGTTGTGGCTTTTATCTAAGCCATATTCCTAATTTCCTACACAAATATAATCAGATGTGTCATTCTTAAACTACACCCATTTGTCATAAAAAGGGGCCATATCAATCTCTATAAACTTTCTTGTTAAGATCTGATGACCTCTTTTCTTTGATGGTACCAGCCAAACATAAAAGCAAACAAATCATTGCATGCAATTAATGTTGTAAATTAGTTTGTGTGAGTTTCATCAGTTTATTATTCCATGTTTTTCGTATGTTAATACTGGTTTCTTTCATTTTATGATATTAACTTTGTAACAACTTTCCTTTAAGATTATAGTTCTTGGACTCAATTTATTCGGACCACATCTCAATTTTCTTGTATCCATTTGAGTGTATTAGTCTATAATATTATACAAAATTCATACATTTTAAATTTAAAACTAATTAACAATGATTTATTTAGTCATATAATATTTTTGTTATGTTTTTTTGGGGGGGGGGGAATATCTATAGGAAAAATATTATACAAAAGGTTTTTATACTATTGTAATTTTTGGATGAAAATGACCTCATATTAGAATTAACCAAGAGAGATTAATTTCTAGGATAAGAGATTAGTATATAAAGAAATAAAGAAATATATATATATATATATATATATATATATATATATATATATATATATATATATATCATAACATCTTAATTTCTGGTATGTGAACAAACTTAACATAATTGATTTGACTATACATTTATATAGAATTCTAGGGTGATTTTGTCGCACTAATAGAAAGATGGGTGTTTTATAAAAAATAATTTATGATATTATATAAATAAGGTAAAAACACAGAAAAAATTTATGTGGTGATTGCATGATCGGTGACCAAAATTAGTAATCCCTGAAAAATTAACAAACTATTCATCCCACGAAATGAAATTTTAGAAACTAATAGAACATACGTGAAAGGTCCATTAGCTATATGGATGATATGCATGGATATTCCAAATTAGTTAGTAGACTAGCCTTCATAGGTAAATCATATATATATCCCAAATTATTTACTGATTACAAACTAATAAATATGCATTTAGGGTGAATTAGCTAAACTAATATATTCAATAATATCATGGCAAGTTTTCAACATGATTCATTCTGCGAGATTGAAACAGACCAAATCAACTCATTGTTTAAGGGGGCCACAAACAGACTAATCGGATTTACCAGACAGCTTAAGATCTAACTTAAAATTTGATAGTTTCAACTAAACAGCACCATACGTTTATAACATCTTTGATTTGGGAGTTCTTTTGATAAATTAGAGTTAATTTCGTTGTACTTAACTTCATTTTCGATAGTACAAAACGAGCATGTGTGTGTGCATATATGATTTTTTCTTTTATTTTATTACATGGACAGCGAAAATTAAAAGATCACAGTCTATATTAGATCAGATGCGGATAAATTAAAATATAGATTTACTATGGACTTAATCAAAATGTCCAGCTAATTAAACAAATAATTTTGATCAGCAATTAGCAAACCTTATAGTATAATAAATAAATAATTCCCACGAGAGAACCTTTCAAAAGAAATAAACAAATGACTAGAAAACAACTGGTCATATTCTATTCAGATAAAATACAAAATAACCAAATATAATAACAAAATAACACCTTTGATATTTGCCTGCACGTCCCAAAAAACAAGTCGAGAATAACCACATCTCACTGATTAAAACCCTCTCACTAATCACCTTCCTAATCATTCCCATCAACTGAAAACAAAAACATCATTCGTTCTTCGGGAGTCGTACGGTCGAGATCAACCATGCACCGTAGAGGAATTCAAGAATCTGACGACGAAGAAGATGAGACGTATAACGACGTCGTTCCAGAGTCTCCTTCTTCTTGTGAAGACTCCAAGATCTCAAAACCAACTCCAAAGAAAAGGTTTTGCTCCATGTTCTTACGAATTGTTAATTGTTTTTCCGAGACAGCAATGGTCTGAAAATGTGATGGTCGTTATGTTTAGTAGGAGGAACATGGAGAAGAGAGTTGTCTCGGTTCCGATTGCTGACGTGGAAGGATCTAAGAGTAGAGGAGAGGTATATCCACCGTCCGATTCCTGGGCCTGGAGAAAGTACGGTCAAAAGCCGATCAAAGGTTCGCCTTATCCCAGGTAAATTTACCGTCTTGTCCTCCTTTTTTTGTCAGTGGCGGCTGCGTATGTTAGTCTATACGGTGGTTGGGCTAACATACGCACCTCGTTGAGATTTTACAATAACGGTTCGCGTCTGATATTAGGTGGTTTCACGCGCTAGCTCCTTCATTTTTGGTCCCTTCTATAGTGTTTTCTTTTGGATCAAAACTCTTTTATATTGTTTTTTTAAAAGGGAAATTGCACCCTATATACATACAAAAAACCCAAATGCACAAACTAACTAAAATTCCTCCCTCTCTCCTATTTTTTCTTTATATCTCTCCCTATTCTCTCTTCCAAAATCTAATTTTTTTTGGGCAAAAAGTCCTTTTTTAAAAGGCTTTCAGTTAATTAAAATTCAGGAAAAACTCTTTTCTATTGTTGATAAATTTAAATACTAAACACTTGGATGAACACTAATTAAATTATCTAGAAGGTTTTGCTTTACTTTGGTAGTTATTATAACCTTGGGGGAGATGAAATATTAAAGTAGGTGTAGATCTTGATTTCTAATCAAGACAAATCAAGACAAAGCCTCAAAGGGTAATGCGCACAAAAAGGAAAAGTATTTTACATATATGTTCGTGTTTAACGTGCCGATATTTTATATCTATGAAATTTTATTTACTTTAATTTTAGGATGAGTTTTACGGAAAATTTATTATCAAGTTCACAATGATGTTTTGCTAAAAAACGTAAATTTCATTGATTTTAATAATAACCACTATTTACTTTATTAGTTTGAGTATTCTCCGGTTTATTAATTTGATTTTGCTAAAAATGTTTTAAAGTTAATCACTTTTGTGTGTGTGTGTGTGGGAATCTCTCAGGGGATATTACAGATGTAGCAGTTCAAAAGGATGTCCGGCAAGGAAGCAGGTGGAGAGAAGTCGTGTGGACCCCTCAAAGCTCATGATAACTTACGCCTGCGAGCACAACCACCCTTTCCCCTCCGCCACTAACAACAAATCTCACCACCACCGAACCAGCGCCGTCGTCCTCAAAACGGCCAAGAAAGAGGAAAACATGGAAGAAGAAGAAGAAGAAGACGAAGAAGAGGAGGAGGAAGAAGCAACCGTCGCCGCCGAGGAACCGGTGGGACTAGACTTGAGCCACGTGGATTCTCCACTGCTCTTAAGTGGCTGCTACAGTGAAGTCGGCGAGTTCGGGTGGTTCTACGACGCGTCCATCTCGTCGTCCTCTGGTTCTTCTTACGGTGGGAGTTTCTTGGATGTTACACTAGAGAGTGGTTTTTCAGTAGGGGGAGAGGAAGATGAATCATTGTACGGTGATCTCGGTGATTTGCCTGATTGTGCCTCCGTGTTCCGTCGTGGAAGGGTGGCTACGGAGGAGGAGCATCGGAGATGTGAGTTTGGCGCGGTTCCTTTTTGTGATAGTTCTAGATGAGTTTGTGTTTGTGTGTAGCCAAATCCTAAAAAGGAAACTTTTTTTTTTGTCCCACTGTAAAGGTGTATCGATGGTGGATTCATATGATTCATTAAAAATAATAATTAATAAAATTAATATTAATGTTTTTGATACAAGAAAGACAGATATGTAACGAGGATGACCAAAAAGGAAAGTTTCCTCCATTGCTCACAGTCATGTCTCTGGCGTGATATGAGCTAATACCAGGTGAACAGTCACGTCTTGTCTGCTTGAAAATGATTAAACAACAAAGTGGGCACGGTCCTCTGGACTTTGGAACTATACATTCCTCTTGGAACATATGTTTGCATGGGGTGAGCATCACTATTTCCTTGCTCAAAGAGTCAGTCTTCTTCACCAGAGTAACCTTGAGAGTTTCTTGACTTTTCGCTTCTTGAGTTCTTGTTGCTCAGATGTCCAGTCTCTCGCTTAGTATGAAATTGTCCGCTTTAGACCTAAGCCCTCACGGATTTGTTTTTGGGTCATTACTCCCAAAAAGCTTCATATTAAGTGAGATTGTACCAACTATATATATTAGACTTTATTCTGCCTAATATCCGATGTGAGACTTGGATTGTTTTTTTTATTTATTCTGACATAAATGGTCTTTCTTGTTAGAAATAAAGGGATGAGAAGTCAGGGTATGCCTGACAAGCAACAGCTTATACAATTTGGAGGGAAAGAAACGCAAGACGACATGGAGTCATGGAGATGTTCCAGGGACAGCTGCAGGTCTGATCAAGGTTCTTGTTAGACAAGTCAGGAACCGTAATCCTTTCACTAGGATCAAAGGAAAAGCGTGATTATGAGGAGTGTATGCAACTATGGCTAGCTACAAGATGACAGAAGCAAATAGGAGATTTTCTTTTTGATTCTCGTTAAAGAAACATGTTTGTACAAAACAGTTTATTTTTCTTTTGAATTAATTTAACATTCATTAAAAAAATAAAGGGTCGAGAAGTTTTTGTAGTTGTAATGCAAGTTTCTATTCCTTTTCTTGCTTTCAGTTATTATTTTTCCACTTATGTTAACTCCGTTAAAGCTGATATGTTAAGTAGTTCTAATGTTAAGCAAGGAAAATGCCTTAGTGTGATATGATAATGCCCATGTCTTCTCTCCTGAACAAGTATCATGCACACAGCACACATCATGATCTAAAATCTTAAAGTGGTTGTGATGTTGAGGAAGAAATAAGAATCATACCAGGCAAGGGAACGCTTGCACTGTGTACATTTGTGTGTTAATGAAATTAAACCTTGATTCAACTAGAGAACGCTAAACCGGAAAAGATACATCAAGCTACTACTGTCATCATCAGTGTAACATCAAGGTTTAAGTTCATTACTGTGTGTCCTAATGTGTCAATTTTCTTTATGAAGGTACCATAAGTATCTTTACATGACTAAGCCTCAAAGTTTCACAAATACCTTTCACATCATGATCTCATTTGTTATAATCTTCAAACCTACCAATAGTTAGATCCCAGTAACATTCACAAATCTTCATAGCAAAGCACAATCCAAGAAGATACAACCTTTCATCTACAGGCGCGTCCATGATGACTTGTGCCACAGAGAGTAGCTCTAGTACGATCAGAGCTAGAAGCTATAGAAGAATTTCTTTTTGCCGGCTTGGATATGATGGATCTACAGAGAGGACAATATCCTTTCCTCTTTAACGGTGTAACTAATAACTATACATTCTTCATGAAACATATGTTTTCAAGGAATAAACATCATTGTTTCCTTGGGCTCAAAGTCTTCCAAACAAACACTACATCTTTTCTCATCTACTTCACTAGAGTGATGTCTTTTGTTAGATGTTTCAGAACCTCGTCGTCTTAGTGCCTCGAACTGCTTCAACCGTAGGATCGTGTTGATTCAGAACAGAAGAACAGCCACTTTTGAAGTTGTTCATAGTTGAATGAATGGCTTTCTTGTTACATACAAATTAGGGATATAACAAAAAAAATTTCGGACAATGGGATATAACAAGTTTTTGTACTGTATTGCAGTTTATATTTTTTTCTTGGTTTTGAGTTATTCTTTCTCCACTTTTACTGATTCAGTTGAAGTGTTACAAAAAAAATAAAAATATATTGATTCAGTTGAAGCTGATAAATTCAGCAAGTAACCTATCTGATGCCACTTCTTCTCTCCTTAGTAAGTATCATGTACACACATTATGGACCTACATCTTAAACCGGCAATGAGCTCAGATACATTCACAACTAGAGGATGCCCAACTCGAAATAATACATCTTCAAACTTATTGAAATAACTCATAACGTTTCTTTATTACAATATATATAAGTAACAAGCACAAATCCTTTAATAGGAAAATTATAGCAAAGCACAATCCAAAGATGATACAATATTTCATCTACATCAAAATCCATTTTTATTTCAAGAAATAAAGAAAGTAATCACAAAAGATAAATAGAGAGCACCACACACACACCTCAGAAAATAATATCTGCATCCTTCTCTCCACCACCAACAAGTAAATTCCTTGCAGCGTTTATCGAAATCCCTCTCTGCATAGAGATCCCTTCAAGAACCATCTCTTCAGCAAACGCCTTCGCATTAGCTGCTTGTCTCTCCACTTCCCTCCTCTTATACCCTTGAATCTTCTTCAACCTAAAGAAATCTTCCCTCTCAAGCTCATCAAGCTCTCCCTTGATGTAACTAATCGTATTCTCAATCTTCGGTTTCACCACATTCTCCAAAGCATTCACCCTCCGGTTAGTCGTCTTGATCGCTTCATCAAGCGTCAAGAACGAAGTCTGGAGAGAAGCAAGCTCAACCAAAACCTCAATGGCTTTAACGTAAGCCACACGGCAAGCTTGGACTTGCTGTCCACCTCTAGCTAAACCGGTTAAGTCATTCTTGGTCTCGCCTTCTGAGAAGTGATCGAACTTTGGGAGCTTCACACCAGCGATGTTCTCTTGTCTTGAACGGACTTTGAGGGTTGCTTCTTTGACGTTCTCGAGGACGACGTGTTTGACATTCTCGCCAGCGACGTACTTGACTTCGGTGAGAGCGAAGGAAGATGTCTTCATCATGTCTCCCATGGATTCTTTGGCTGTTACGATTTTCTTGAGAAGGGCTCTGAACTGAACTGTTAAAGCATCGCTCTTTTTCTTGAGGAGAGCGTGGCCTCTTGTGGCTCCAACGAGACGAGCTTTCATGACTCCGAGCATTGTAACGGTGGGGACCACATTCAAACGCGCGTTTTGTCCAGCCATGTCTCAAAAAACTAGTGAAAATACGATCATTATTAGGATCAGACAAGAAAAACAACAGAAACAGAGACCAATATTTATATCTAGTAAACTCTGTTTCATCAGAAACAGAGCAAAACTGAAAACAGAGCAACTCTGTTTTTCATCAGAAACAGAGCATCTCTAACGATGCAATACAGAGATCCATCAATGGTTACAAGATTGAATCAAAGTCTACGACTTAAGATATTTTTTGTATGATATATAGTTGCCCAGATCCTCTAAAGATGAAATCTTGAATCGAGATCACAATTGAGAGACAAGAGTAAGATTGTAGATGATATACCTGGGCCTGTAAAGGAGACTTCTTTGCAAGTAGATCACTGAGATAGATTGAGAAGAAGACAGAAGAGAGAGAGAGGGGCCTTGGAGAAAATTGAAAATTTGTTTTTAAGAAGTGTCGACAGGCGTGAGAAGAGAGAGAGAATCGTACATCGTCGCTGATCGTGGAGGAAAGAAAGGGGGTTGTTGTGTAATTAACAGTAAACATGAAGGACTTGTTTTGCTATAACACGATAAAATAAATATACAGCTCATCGCGTATGGTGGGACGCTGCACTTATCCCACGTTCTTTCAAGTGCTACACTGCTACGGACAAAAACTCAGGCAATCATTCAAGAACATCCCCTAATTAAAGTTACAATTAGCGTTCAATGAAGCGTTTTGATTTTAAAAATGAAGATATTTTGTCTTCAAAAAAAGAAGAAGATTATTTCGAGGATTTAGGGATAAAAGTAAAGTTCCAAATGATTGAGGAAGATAAACTTTCATAGCATGTTGAAATTGAATGAGAGATTGGTGATCTTACTGTTTTCATTGGGTTTAATTAAGATTAAAATGTTTAATCATACTATTTTTTGTATTAATATTGTCGATAAGCATCATATTCTTAAGATATGGTTATTTCACAGCTTATACATTACCAACTATCATTGTATATATATACACAGTATCACATATTACAAACACACAAAACGTTTATATATCATGCAAATACAACATTTGAAATCAACATTTTATTTTCACAACTAATATATTAATTATGATTATATCCACACCACCGTATTTTATTTTCACATATTACAGAAACATAAGTTTATATATATCACACAAATAACTTATTATATGTGAAGTTCTTTGTATCACTGACTGGTGGTGCCCATTCCATTAACCATACTTATTAGCATCCAAATCACTTGACTCTTCTTTCTCTCTCTGGTCCGTAATGCCTTAGCCACACCCCAGTATACGCCTGTGCAGCCACACAGTACAGTGAGCCATAAGAAAAAACTAATAGCATCTTTGATCTAACAAAGAAGTGCATGTATCTATGCATATGTATATATTACCTTTATGAGCCATTGATCTATCAAAGAGTGTATTTACCTGTTGGGGCCTCATGATCTTTGTGTCAGGATCATCTAACGACTCACGCCAATGTGATAAGTATCCAGCCATACGTGAAACTATGGTGAAATGTGATGGGACTCCCATTGCCCTATGTTTTTGCCCATTTCAATTACCAAACATAAGTTTCAGATAGAGAACTTAACGGTTATAATAATTCATTAGCAAACAATTTTTCAGATGACTTCCCCATGTCTCTTACCTATAGACTAATCCAGAGCAGAAATCAACATTTGGGTAAAGCTTTCTCTTAACAAAATAGTCATCAGAGAGTGCCGTCTTCTCTAGAGCAGCTGCTACCTGGTTACATCATACATCAAATCTTTCTTAAACCATACATTTTCAACAAATAATCAAGCAGAAGAGATACAAGAATAATCTAAAATACTTCGTACAAGGGATCTTTTCCAACAATGAAGAACACTTCATCTACCAGTTTCTTAAGGATTTTTGCTCTCGGATCGTAGTTTCTATATATGCGGTGTCCAAAACCAAACAGCTTCCTCTTCCTGATGAAAAATAGTTAACATTAATGCAATAACTCATCATTGATCCAGATACTATGGAGTCTTAAGTATATTGAATTACTTGTTCTTCATGCATTTTATGAACTCTGGAATATTTTCAACCTTCCCAATCTCTGATAACATCTTAGGCACAGCCTCAACACCATGAAGTGGACCATTAAGAGCTCCAGTAGCTCTCCCAATAGCAGTGTACACATCAACACCACTACATGAATACAAATATATTGATCAAAAAATAGATCTCCCAGCAACTCTAAAATATTTGGTAACCAGTAATATTATTAGAGAAACTCCTTCCATGGTATGAGGATGGGGTTCTAAAAGAAAGATTAAATGCTAATTATTAGTAAAATAATAGATGGTGTTTCAACACCCTTTGAGGTACTTCATTTTCAAACCATGTATGTGGATGCTCTTAGTACCTAGAGGCAAGATGCCGAGCAGCAGCAGTGGAGCAATTCATTTCATGTTCACAATGCAGTATGAAGATGGTGTCCAACACTTGAGCTAGCCGAGGATTAGGCTTGTAATACCTATTGTCCCTATATCAATGGAAGATGAGAGGAAACATGTAAGCAAGAAATAAATGAACACTGACTAAAGCAGTAAGTTTACTTCCTTTAAATACAAGAGTTTATAATCAATCAAATAGGGGGAGATGGAGAGTGTACTCTGAGTTTAACATATAGATCAAATTCTCTGTATAAGAAAGGTTTCCTAAAGGAAGAACATAACGCTTCCCTGCCGTCCTCCAAAAAGCAGCTGCTGCAATAGTAGGTGCTTGTATATGACACACATTATGTTATATACACATTGATTAGGGCACCAAGTCAAAAGACACAACAATACTTGTCCAAGAATACGAAATAACTGTTTATCACTAACTTGAGCTGACTTGTAAATCTTGGCTCTGCACCCAATGGAAAATTCTATGAAGTCAAGATAACATCTAAAGAGCGTTTTTTTTGTTAAGAAATTAGGTTTAAAAACTTACCATATGAGCAGGGTTTGTATCAGGATGAAAGAGAGAAAGAGCACTCATCACACTGTCAAAATCATCAGTTGGATATGCATCTTGAGGCATGGACTGAATCATATCCTGGCGAAAACATTCAGATATAAAACTATTTAAATCGCCATTACCACAATGATCAAATACAAATGCGGCAATATTTCCAACGATGGATGCGACTTGTCAATATTAAGTTTTACGTGGTAAAATGGCCAGCCATCGTATACACATAAACATATTCACAATGGTAAAAGACACATGATGCAACTTTTCATAATTATATTGAATAGAAAGTTTTTCTGAGTTTTTTATATTCTGATTTGGTTCTTTAGACACCTCAAATTTGAGTAATTTACTAGCTTTTTGAAGACAAAAAAAAAGAGCTCATGATGCGCAACAAGCCTTGATGGACCTAACAAGCTTTATGGTATACAAGAAAGGCAACCCAACTTATTTGAGGAAAGAGTAGAAGTAACTCACCAATAATCTTTGGGGAACAACTGAATGCTGAGAAATTGCTAATTTCCAATAAGCTAGCTGAGTTTGAGAAGGCAGATTCCCATAAACTGCAAAAGAAAAAAAAACAAGAAATACGAAGAACTCACTGAAGAGAGAGCAACATGCAAAGAGAACCTACATGATCATGATAAGGGCATCATTAACACCGGTCTCTTAGCCGGGGTTCTTAACTCATGATTAACATTTTTTTTATACTTTTCGACTAAGAGACAGCTCTTATCTCTTATTTAAGAGACGGTTCTTTCTTAGTTAAAATCTATGAAAACATATTGTGACATATGATAGTAATTTCCTTATTTGATAATATTTTTTTCTTTTAATATTGTGGCATGTGTTAAAATATATAATGATTAAAGATACATATATATAATTAGATAATAAAAAAATAATTTTGAACAATTAAATTTAAAATTTATTTATTAGTAAAAAGTAACTTTATAAATTAGTTAATAGTATTTTTAGAACTTGTACTTTTTAAAAGTCCTAAGCAAAAAAAAATATTTGAAAAAAAGTTGTAAAAAAATTTGAAAAATAATTTGTAAGAAATTGTATTGAGCTTGATTATTCAAAGTTTCTAATTAAAATAATTTTAACATATGAAAGTTATATATTTGTTAATTATAATTATTATCAAATAGTAATTTTTATTTCTAAAATCCTAAACAAAAGATAATTATAACTATTTGATACTAATTTTCTTTTTAATATTGTGACATGTGTTAAATATATAATGATTAATATATATATATATCTAATAAAAACGAATTTTAAAAAATAAATTTAAAACTTATCTATTAGTAAAACGTAACTTTAAAAATTATTTAAGAGAAATTTTTAGAAATTTTAATTTTCAAATATCCTAAACAAAAACAAAATTTGAAAAAAATTGTAAAAGATTTTGGAAAATAATTTATAAGAGATTATATTGAGGTTGATTCTTCAAAATTTCTATTTAACATGATTGTGACATATAAAAGTTATATATTTATAATTTTGATATGTGTTAAACTATATCATAATTAAAAATAAATATACTAAGATACTAAAACTGATTTTTGTTAAAATTTAATTATAAATCTTATTTAATAGTAGTTTTCCATTTCTAAAATCTTAAACAAAATATAATTGCAAATAATTATTTCAAATTTGTTATGAATAATCCACTTTCCAATTAAAATAGTTGATATTATTTTTATAAATTATAAACCAAAAGGAGTTACAATTATTCACACACACACACACAGATATATATATATATATATATATATATAGTGTGATTAAGTTTTCTCATGTTTTGTCATTTCTCATATTTTGGTAGTAAACATAATAAGAGATACAAGAATAATATTAAACTAGATGATAACCCGCACCATGCGCAGGGTAAACTTTTAAAAAATATGTTGTAATTAAATACATATTTTGCTATTAATAAATACTTTTACATTTGATTAGGGATGAGCATTTGGGTATCATTTGGTTCGGTTAGATTCTAATTGGTTTAGATCTTTGCGGTTTGGTTTGAATCTTTGCAGGTTCGGATTGAGTTTAGGTTCGGATAACCCATTTATTTATAAAAAAGATTAAAATTCATATATACTTTAATTTTTTGAAAGTCTAGAAGTAAAAATAACATATAACATATAAATTTGAAAAATGAATGCCAAAATACTTAAACTTAATATAAAATTGGTTTATCTTAAATATTTGGACAAAAAATCAATAAATATTTAAAATATTTTTGATATTTGGAGTATCATTTAGCTATTTTAAAATATAAGTTTAACTATTTTATATATTTCTAAGTATTTTGGAAATTTTTAAAAAATCTCATGTACTTTTTATATTCTTAGATGTTAAATTTTAAAATAATTAATATATTTAAGTATATAAATATGGTTCGAGTACACTCGGATACCCGAAATATTTCGATTCAGTTTTGGTTCTCTAGATACCCAAATTTCGAATCAGTTTGGATATCTAAAATATTTTGGTTAAAATATTTTTACTACTTTTTGGATTTGATTTGGTTCGTTATCTTGATTCATTTTTTTTGCCCAACCATATATTTTTATTGTAACAAAAACTTAAACGAAATGGATGATGGTTCATATTGATTTTGGGTATGCAATAGTTTTTAAACAAAACACACTATGTTATGTCCAATCCATTTAGTTAATCATTATCAACTGTTGAAGATCCATTAGAAAAACGATTGGCTATACTAAAAAACGTTCTCATTGATCACAAAATTTTTAGTGTGAGATTTTTACCATTTTTAGTAATTTAGGATCGTTTTAAAAAATTTTAAATATAACATATAAGAAAATTTTAATTTTTTATTTTATGATTAATGTGATTGTTAAATTTCTTTTAATAATATAAAATTAAATAAAATTAAAGACGATAAAAAATTGTTATCAAATCTTTATTATTCATAAACATTAATTGTGATACATATGTTAATCATATTAGGTAATTTCGTAGCTTTTATTTAAGGAAAGAATAGGAAATATTCTTTTGTACACTTCTAATTAAATATGATAGTTAGTATAATAAAAATATAACATATGTTTAGTTGGACCAATATATTTCTCTAAGAGTTATGAAAATCATTCTCATTGTGAAACGTGGCTACAAAAAAATATTGTAATGTTCCAAGATTAATATATAGGAGATTTAAACTACTAATCAAAAATATTATGTGTGAATTTGTAGATGTTTTATTAATTTATAGTTGTTTTTAAAAATTCAAAATATAACATATATCAAAAAACCTAATTTTTTTTGTTATATAGTTAATGTTATTGTTTAATTTATTTTCACAATATAAGTTTAACAAAAACAGTAGAGGCTATAATTTTTTTTATCAAATCTTCATATTAGAATAATTAATTGTCATATATATATTATAACCATATTAGGTAATTCCGTAAATTTAATTTAAGGAAATAATGAATAGCATTAATAATTGTCTTATGTCTAATTTAATAAAAAGTATATTATATGTTTGTATGGACCAACATTTTTCTCTAGTAAATTTGAGAAGCATTCTCATGATGACATGTGGCTACCAAAACATGTTGTAATGCTTCTCAATTAATATATAGGGGATGAGTTTTTCTGCATATTCATTCACATCTTCTCGTGATCTACTCTTTTTGGGTATCACATGTAGATGAAATAACTTGTGACATCCTGATTTTCATATTAAAGTGATGTTAATTTTTTAAAAAAAATATATTATTATCATGCTGTCGTACATTAGTTATTGCCACAATTATACTTAAGCGTTTGTACATGTTGTTTTATGTATGTTAATGGGTAATATGACTATTATGCTTATGTGTGTTTGTTCTTATCGGCATATAAAATTGGTTATGCTATTATAGATCATGATACTACATAATTAAAATAAAAGAGAATGACTTTGAAATAAAATGTTGTAGGTCATGCTACTAAAGAATTGAAATCAAAGAGAAAGACTTTGCAATAGACAATATTACTAATAATTTAAACTACACAACATGATTACTGAAGTATAAATCCTAACTAGAAATTATATGAAAAAAAACAGATTTTTATTTCTAGCATAAGTCTCATACCAACATATACAAGATGGTCTTTCAAACTGAAATGACATTAATCTGTTATATGAGTTTGCTATGTAATGACTATCAACAAGAGTTAAGGTTAAACTTTAAAAGGTTGGTCTATATTTGCCAAATCCAGTCTTACAATTATACATCACACTATCAAGAGTCAATACAACTCCATAGTTTCAGATTTTTAAAACATAACGACAATAGTCACACCATACATGATACATGTTAAAGTAAACATATTTGATGTTTTATTTAGCAGTACTAGTCTTTGACCCGCGCACCCGCGCGGATGTTTGTTTTTCATAACTATATATTTTTCACTTTTAACAATGTCATGAACATAACTATTTATGTTCTTATTATAGATTCATACGTTATTAAACTTTAACATTGGTGTCTCTTGTTAATTTTTTTAGTGTCCATTTATAAACTATGAGATTGTGTCTTTTTTTTTAATTGTGCTTTTATTCATTATACTTGGTAAAGTAAAAATTAAAGTTTGAAAAATTAGAGTCTTAAGGATACTTGTGGGTTTTATGGAAACACAATAATTTAATGGGATTTAAAGTTGAATATAAAATTCAAATTTTATATTCATATTCTTAAAACAAATACATTATTTAGACAGAAACATAAAAATGTTTGATATACTCTCAAAATACTGTAAAATAGCTGTTTTTAGGTTAATAGCAATTTTGATATATGATTAAATATTTTGGTTTTGGTTTATATTATTAAGATACAAAACCATATTATATGGAAGAAGTTAATGATTTTTGTTTAAAATTACATAATTTATCAATTTATTTATTTGTGATTTAGTTTGATCAAATTAAAAAAATTAGTTATGATTTAGTATGTACACTTTTACGTAAAATTATTTTTTATTTGCATTTTGCAATGCTTACAACTATGAAGTTAGTGATAAGAAATATTATTACAAAGTTTATTAGATTTTGAAAAAAAAAAAACAGTTTTGCTGGTCGTCATAGTTTTTAGTATTTCTATCTGATTTTTGAATGAGAAAAAAAATTATATATATACAATAAAAACTCTATAAACCAATAAGAAATAGCCCTATATAATTCAAGCGCTACTCCTCCATAACTCTATAAACTCTATTTATATATGTAGAATACCAAAGTTAATAATTCAAAACTAAAAAATAGTTTAGAAATTAAGAATGAAATTAAGACAATGAACATTATTTAAATCAATGTTTGATAAAAATCAACTTTGGTTCCTCCAAATTAAAAACAAAAACTGCTCATTCTCCTATAGGTAGGCCTCGTTGAATTTGGTGCATGCAACTTCTTTTGCAAGAAGCATGAATCTTATTACCTATAGTTGGTGAAAAACGGGTTACAGTAGAGAATGGTTGACGAAAGTAGTGAATTGAAGTTTAAATTTCATAAGGAAAACCTACCAATTATTGGCTTAAACCATCTTGAAGGTATCATCTTCTATGAATGCAAGTATTTAACTTGAACTTGCCATGATTTTTTGAAAGGGTTGGGTTAGTTGAGAGGAGTGAAAATAGTAATCTTAGATATTTTGTGAGTGTAAAATTATATGGTTTCAC